AAACAGGGACGTAGCGTAATACCGGCCCCGGGGGCCCAAGGCCCCCGAAATCGGCCGGGGCCCGAAAATTTCATAAGGGGGCCCCTAATGATTTTTATTTTCTCAAAAATTTTGCTGCCTGCGGCGCTATTTTTTCACGTTTTTACGGCTATTTGTAGAGCTATGTAACCTCTTTTTCAAAAATTTCAAAACTCGGATAGATTTCTGGGTACTAGTATATTTTGGGGGGGCCAAAAAATTTTTTCAACCAAAATTTCTCATTTTGCACTATTTCGTTCAGTTTATCATGCTGAATCGAATGCACATGTTTCCAGGTTTTTTATTATTGCAACAACATAAGAATTAGGCAACAATAACAATTACTATCAGGGGTGGATCTCCTTTACATGCGACCAAAAGTTGAAGAATCGATCGCATGCTTAGGATTAGGCTTAGGCTTAAGCTTTGACCTAGGCTCAGGCTCAGTCTTTGGCTCCTGCTTTGGCTTTGGCTCAGGTTAGGCTTAGGCTTATCTGCGGCTTGTGCAACGGTATACTACTGGAAAACTATTGAAATTACTTGTAAGATAAATAGTTAATTATTACTAGAAAACATGATCTAAAAAAAATCTGGAAACACTTTCATTGGATTCAGCACGAAAAACTGAACAAAATAATCGAAAATGAGAAATTTTGGTCGAAAAATTTTTTTGGCCCCCCCCAAAGTATACTAGTACCGATTTCTGTTTTAGCTGTTGTTTTTTTTTTTTTGAGGAAAAAGAGGATCCAATCTTCTACTGTTTTTTTTTGAGGTATAAGCGTTTTACATTGAACTTTATCTATCTGTCACAACGTCATCACAATATGGCCAGGTGAGGGTGTCGGAGGCGTTGGATCGCCCTTTTCCGGAATCCCGGAATTATCAGACGTCGATTGCTGCAGCACGCCGTATATCCGGGGCAACATTCCCTTCAGGACACGCTGCACCGTTTTATTTGTGGTCATGAATAGAATCTGAACTCACTTTATAAAAATTATCGCTTATAGGATAGGATTATTCACTCTATTTTATAAAAATCATAAAAGAAAAATTAAACAAAAAAAAATCGGTTGATTTTCACCCTACCGGATTGATGGAATGGTTGCAGACGGAGCAAACGCTTCGCGTGATATTTAGGACCCATTGGACCCAGGTGTCCGTTTTGAGCATTGGTGCTGTCACGGAAAAGGCACGGGTCAGCTAGAAATGGTTCTGGTTCGTTAGCGGGGGGGAGCAGGAGAAAACTAATTAATAGTGTGTTTGATAAAATGTAGTTATATTCAAATGGCAAATCATCTAAATAACGTTGAAAATTGTAAAATTTTGATCCAAAACCGACATTTTGTCGAAAAATCGACGTTTTTGCCTTTTTGACGAAAAATTGGTAACCTTTTTACGTTTAAAAGCTGCAAAAAGTCCTTAAAAATCCATACCTCGAGGAAGAAGGTGACAGTTATCGCCTGATATAGCAAAGCGATGTCATTATCGTTGCTTTGGTACATTGAATGACGCCTAAAATGAGGCAATTAGTAAAGTTCGAGGTGGGGAGGTGGGGAGGTGGGAGGTAGTGTTGGTTTTTAGTCCAAAGTCCACGGACTTTTTCGGACTAAAAAGTCCGCGGACTAAAAAGTCCACGGACTTTTTCGGACTGAAAAGTCCGCGGACTAAAAAGTCCACGGACTTTTTCGGACTAAAAAAGTCCGCGGACTAAAAAAGTCCACGGACTTTTTCGGACTAAAAAGTCCGCGGACTAAAAAGTCCACGGACTTTTTCGGACTGAAAAGTCCGCGGACTAAAAAGTCCACGGACTTTTTCGGACTAAAGTCCGCGGACTAAAAAGTCCACGGACTTTTCGGACTGAAAAGTCCGCGGACTAAAAAAGTCCACGGACTTTTTCGGACTAAAAAGTCCGCGGACTAAAAAGTCCACGGACTTTTCGGACTGAAAAGTCCGCGGACTAAAAAGTCCACGGACTTTTGGATTGCAAAAGTCCGCGGACTTTTTTAGTCGTGGAACCTCGGGGGTTTTGAATTAAAAAGTCTGCGCCAGCATTTCCGCTTCCCATTCGTTTATGGCTCGACGAAAAAACCCGCAAACCATTTTTAATTGGCATGTGGTAACCATCCATCGCTCTTATTGTTAGACGCGGGCGGCAGAATAGGCCATAATTGTGCCGTTAGTTTGTCTGTGTTTTGTTCTTGGTTCGGTTTGTTTGCCGAGAAAGGCTTTATCAGAAGTGAAACGTAACAACAAATGAGACTCTACACAACAAGAACAACAATATCGGCCTTAGGAAACTTTCAATCTAAGCTTTTAATTATTTATTTTTTCTAGTTTACAGGGTTTACTATGTGTTAGTTATTTAGTTGACTAGGCTTTTAATTATTGATTTTTGCTAGTTTACAGGCTTTACTATGTGTTAGTTGTGTTACTGGACAGTTAGCAGGAGGAGAAAACTATCCTTTCGCGTCTATGCTGCTTGTTACCAATAGTAATATATAAATCAAAAATTGGTGAAATTGCTGTTGGCCAGGGGCGGTCCGGATTTCGACTATACCATTCACGCCGTTTTTAAACTAAGCCTCGTGAAACGATCAGCTAAGCCTAAGCCTGAGCTTAGCTTCACATAGACGAGTTGTAAGCCTAGGAGCCAAGCTAAGTCTTTTTAACCCTTCTGTTTTCTATAAGTCAAAAATCAAAAACAAGGTTGGATAAGGAAAAAGGCTATAAATAAAAGTGAGACGAACCAATGCAATGCATTCTTAATCGTTGCTTTGATACTAAAATCAGTCCTAAAACTAAAGAATCTTGAAATAATGCGCAACTAATCTATAGTATCAAACACACGTTTTAACAATTATAGTTGTATCAAAGGATTTTTGGTTTTTGGTTATATCTAAAGCAAGAGAGCCTGTAAACCATTGCAAATAAAGAATTCAGAAGAACGAGAGTAAAAGAAGGAAGAATAGAGGAAGCCTGTGGAGCTTTAAATTTAATTAAAGGTAGATAAAGTAGTATTAATGGTAAGTAAAGCTAATGAATGTACGAAAACAGAACCACGAAGGGCAAGAAGGAAGAACGAATCATTAGGAACATAGAAATAAACTAGTGAAAACAAATAAAAGATATGATTAATAGTTTTCTTACTAGCTAACCTATAGGAAGGAGTTGTGTAGCTATGGAAGTTATGTGCAAGCGCTGTATAGTAGCAAAAACCTTGCAAAAGTTATAATAATTTTAATTTTATAATAACTTGTAAAAAAACAGCGTGCAGCCGATGAATTTGCTTCAATTTCCCAGCTCTTTACAAGGATTTCCCTTTTTTTACTTAATCTAACTTAATAATAACAAAATATTTTACCAAAACCTTTTAATAATGTTCAGAAAACATCAATAAACAATTATAAATCGATTACAAACATTAATTAAAACGAAACGCGCCAAAAAACGGTTATTTTCAAAACCACCTCCCCGAGACCTCCCCACCTCCCGACCTCCCGACCTCCCCACCTCCCCACCTCCCACCTCCCCACCTCCCCACCTCGAACTTTACTAATTGCCCTAAAATGACGCGTTTCGATAAGTTTCATGTGGACAACCTCTGTTTCCTGATAAACCCATAAATAATGACGCATATAATTAAATTGAGCAACGGCAGCGTATACAAAGATACGGAGATAACGTTGATTAATATATCGGAAGATTGGGTCAGCAGGACATCGTCAAAGTTTAGGGTTTTCTGAATTAAATTGATTATTGAAGAAAGGGAAGGGTTCCTTGGCATTATCGAGGAACCTACAAGTAAATATTTTAGTAGATTTTTTTAGAAAAAACTAACTATATTTTAAGCGGAAAATATCTAAAACCTTAACAAATGTTAAATTTTGTCAAAAATTGGTCATTTTGGTCGAAAAATCGATCTTTTCGTTTTGTTAACAAAAATTTGTCGAGTTTTTTACCTCCCGGAGAGTAAAAGGTTTAGAAACACGTCATATATTTCTATTAGAAAAAATTGGTCCCCGAACAATGCCAAAGAACCGGTTTCTATGATACCTTATTATACTTCTTCCGCGTGCCGAACATCTGTCGATATGTAGTTAACGGAATAACAATGAGTATGGTAAGCCATATGACTTTTCGGATGTGATACCTGAAGGTATCTTACGGTATATGACTCTCAGGGCAAAACTAACGTTGAGAAAATGGCCTGCAGGTCTTTCCACACGAATACGGCGAAACGGTTGATGGCCATGAGTAGTGTAAGGTACATAATGGCCTGGTCGGTAAAATCGTTGAGACAAACACCTAAAAAGTTCCATTAGGGCTTGGTTGCGAAATCGACCCTTCCCAACGACTGGGTCTAGACATCGGTATTGGACTGTTAGCGGGGGGGGGGGAGTATCTAGCCTAGACCCCTAGCGTTTTTTCGTGTTTTATAGCGCACGTTAAAAGATTTATAATCGTTTTTGTTTACTAGAAAGTGGTAAAACATACAGGGTGTCCCAAAAAAACGACCCATCTGGAATTTCGCCGTGTTACATCCAATCGGCCCCAAATTTGGACCAGCGGTGTATCAGGCCCTAAATAACAACAATCCTGACTTATAGCCCTGTATCAATAGTAGTTCTCGAGTTATAGCGAAAACAAACTTTATTTTCCATTTTTCATAGGGTTTTCGTGGATTTAGACCCCCTAGACATTAAGCGAAAATGATCCGGTAGGTCTTCTTCACCCTAATAAATTTTTTCCAGAGTAAATTGATTAAATAAACTTTGATTTAAGCGATTTTTACAACGCAAAACTACCCCAGTTCTTAAGCGAAATTAGGGATTCACAGCCGGAAGTCGATGCAAATCGATGCAAAGTCCAAAAACATAGCCGAAATAATGCTTCAGAATTGCGGGAAAAACAGTATTTTCGTTATAACTGGAGAACCACGAAAGCTACGGGGCTATAAGTCAGGATTGTTGTTATTTAGGGTCTGATACACCTTTGGTCCAAATTTGGGACCGGTTGGATGTAACACGGCGGAACGCCAGATGGGTCGTTTTTTTTGGGACACCCTGTATTTTCCAAACTTTAGAAATATGCTTCAGCAGCGCGACACGCCAATGTACGATTGGTGTCAGTTGGCATGTCGCGTAGCTGAAGACACCTAGTCAATCGCAGCGGGTTCAATCCCTTGTCATCTACCTAACCAACTCACCAACTTGTTGCCAAACGGCCAGCGGACCCGTGTCAGGAATTTCGACGAGCATACATGGAAATATACAGGTGGCTTGTGTTATTAAATTTAATAGATTTATCAGCGTCAAGTACCACACTATTGAGAAGAAGGGGAACTGGAAAGTGGATTAGGGGAAATGAAGATGCTTGGAAAGAGGGTTCTTTCACATTATCGGCGGGGGGGGGGGGGCTTTTTACCTAGCACTCAACCTTTCTAATGAGGCAGTGGTTCTAAGCTAATTTTTACCATTCCTAACCGTCAAACTTTACATAGTTTTATTAAAAACTACAAAAAAAAGACGATTTTTCGATAAAAATGGCGGATTTTCGACAAAAAATTCAGATTTTCTAAGCTTTTTGGATAGTTTTTCCGCTTCAATATGATTAAATTTTAGTAAAACCCTGATTAAAATACGTGCGATTTCGTTGGTAGACATTCCTGAACTTATACAAAAAGCCCCCTTTAATGCAAAAGCACCGACAAAGTGATTTTGGTACCTTAAACGATCAAAAATCCAACCTCATTAAATGTCGAGCGCCCTTTGATCTGTACAGCGAGAAATACAGTGACTGCCGTTAGTCCAATGGCCGTTATCGAGCCGTATACGGTAACTGATACAATAATTGCCACATATTCGGCATCGGCCACGTCCAAATTTCCCACCGAGGTATCGAGATTCATGGGTGGTTGGCTATAATGGAAGTTTTAATACTTAAAATGACCGATTACAAAACGCTCGAGGGCAAAGATGCATAGCTATAAATTTTTAAAACGTTATTAGTCGTGCTGAAGCACTATTTTTGATGGAATAAAAGTATGAAATAAGCTGCAAAAGAGCGTATGCTAGAAACTACACAAAATTCTCTATGAATTTTTGAAAACGAAAATCCGCATCGATGCTGGAATTTTAGCGGGGGGATAGCAGTTAATTCTTCTTTTCTGCCTTTTATTCGTATTTTTATAGTTTTGTGATAGTTTTTGATTTTAGAATGCTCTAGGAAAATTTTCAAAATTTATGAAATTTTGAAATAGAAAAAAGATTGATAGAAAAAATTCGGGTTTTTATAAATCAAAAAGCTAAATTTTCGCTTTTTAAAAATTCCCATGCGGTTTTTGTCTAAAATATGGCCGTACGGAGTTACTGAGAACCCCCCGCTAACAGTTCAGTACCGTAGTCCAGTATCGTATACTTAATAAAACAAATTGTGAAAAATGACGTAAAATAGCTTGTTTGTCATGGTCGCACCTAATATCGGAAAACTCGTGATTCTGGATCAAAACCTCGCGGAACAAGTTTTTTATGAAATCCAGAGATTTGCTTCATTCCAGAAGTCCCCCCAGGCGTCCCCCCACGCCCAATCACACACACCCGCTTCAGACAGACCACTAAATGGGGGGCCTTGAATCAGCCATTATAGCGGAAATTAACGGCCGACTCGCGCCGCGCGGTTCCTTTTTCCCCGCGCCGGGTGATAGGGCGGCGTTAACAAGGTTTCCCGTTCTGGCTTTTTGCGCTTTCGTAAACACGTAGCGTTGCGTTGGGGTTTATAAAGATCAAGTGTTCGGCGTACAGGTGCTGCTGGAAGGGCTGGGTTACGAAGCTGCTCGTGCTGGCGAAGTTGTACATAGTACAGGCGGAAATACCGAAAACCGAAAGGCCGAAATATCCGATTTTTTTTACGGCGGTATAAACGTCTAAAGTTACCGAACGACTAAACCGACCCAGCGACCCGTCGTGCCAAATGACGCGTACAAACGTACGGTGGCGCGTCGCGTAGTGGGCTCACTTTGGCCTATACCCTCGTGGAATCCGAATTTTATAACTTTTTACACATTTTTTAAGTCTAAAAGTCAGTAAGCACCTTACTAAAGTTTTCAAATATTTTTGATTGGTGGAAAATTTCAAATTTTGGATCCGAAATTGTTTTTCTGGCTTTTTTAGCGACCAAAACCTCTAAAACACTCAAAATTCGCTATAAAATGCTAAAACATGTTACACAGCTGCTAGAAAGCCGCTGAGTCGAGTAAAGAAAAGCCTAGCGCAAAATTCCAAGATGCCGAAACTGACTGAAATTATCAAGTTTTTTGGTTTCGTCTATCCGTGATTTCTGCAAGAATTCGTACAAGCCCGCCGTGAAGCCGTGGGCGGAAGATCCCGAGGGGATTACGAAACCGAGTCGTACTGTCTGTAAACGTTTGGTCTCAAAAAACACGATGCTGCCTGCACCCGATTAATTGTACCATAAATTGAGCACTGATCCTTTTTGTGGCGCCTATTCAGCCCGGTGCATAAATGGGACAATTTTTTGCAAAATCCCCTGCCATTCTCAGACCAGCATTTATCAAAGTGAGATCAAAACACGAGCTTTTGAGGGTTGTTACAAAGGTGGTGCTTTTGCATTATCGGGGGTGTCTTTCAGGGTGTTTTTTTTTTTAAGCCGGATTTGAAATAATCCCAGAAGTGTTACTAACACAGTAAAAAAAAAAAAAAAAATTATAAATTATATTTAATAAAATTAAAAAAAAAAAAATTGGAAACACTCCCTTTATTTATTTTTTGAAGAATTGGATCCTGAAGCGAAAAGTTTGATTCTCCCGTGATAACCCCCCGATAATGCCAAAGAACCAAAAAGCCTTCTTTTCGCTCAGGTTGGCCGATTCCATATCGCGTCGAGATGTGCGAAATGGATCTCAGCTTCTCGTCTGGGGGGCACGACGAGACGTCGTCCATCCATCGACAACGGAATCGATTCTGGGTCCCGATTTACCTAAAAACATATATAGAAAAAAGTAAATTAAAACACATCGAAAACGCGACGTCTTTCCCCTAGATCTCACCCTTGTGGGAACAAATAAAATCTCATTTTGCCGGCGTCAATTGGAGCGCGTGATACTACTACAGCAGATGACTGCCGCGGAATTTCCTGGTACTAATACTTGCGGATATTTGGGCTTTGATTCCATAGAAATAGCTTCTTGGAATAATTTATAAAACCAACTAAAATCGTTTTAATTTTACGTATTAATCAAGCGCAATTTTTTATTACAACGTTTAAAAGCCGTTTGCGAGACTTCAGCAACCTTTTCTACCCTCATTTTTGACGGTTGCTGCTAGAGCATCGTCGAATTTAGTTTTTTTTACAGTTTTGGGTAATTTTAAAATTTGAAAAGGTCATTTTTGAGGGTTTAAACTCTAACATTTACCGGATCTTTTGCACCAAATATCGTCGACTTCATCGCCGTCAACAACGAGCTATGTCCGTACATGGCCAAATACGGAAACATGGCCGCGTAAAAGGCCGTGATGAGGTCAAAACTTTGGAAAACGGCTCCTAGAAACGGATGGTTAGCACTTGTATGATTTCCACTTACGATATCGCAACCGGAAAGCGCGGGGAGAGGTTTTGTCGTAGTTGTAGAGACCGAAAAGTAGGATGCCACCGGCCAGCAGGGAGGCCAATAAATAGGCCACCACCAGCGGAAATAGCAGTCGGGTGGCGCGAATATTTTCCGCGGTCTAAAAATTCAGTTAGGAAAAAAGATAACTCTAAATAATACCTTTATTAAATAAGTTACCAATTATAAGTGTAAAATCACGCAAAAATTTGCGAAAAACGCCCAAAAAAATTGCCAAAAATAAATTTTTTAAGAGGCCTGTTTGTACCTAGCAACCAAACTACCAAATCTCAAATTTATTTTGTTTTAAAAAGTTGGTAGCGAGAGAAATATATTAAATACTATACCGCGTCCTGATACACCCGAAACACCTGATTTCCCTCACCTGATAGCGTTCGGATAACTTTGGGTGAGTCGCCTGCCGGGCTCGACTACGATAATTTTGTTGGTTGATCTTCAGCAGGGCGAGGAAGACCAGCATGGCAATGGCGTCCATGGCAATGATGGTGAGCAGCGAGATGAGCAAGGCGCGATGAGAAGTGTATTCCATCTGAACATTCAGGAGTTAGCGAACATTCCCGACGTACCTGACAGGCCAGCTTTTCCGTCCGTTGGTCGGCAGCGTCGATTTGGTTGGCCAGCACAAACAGCAGCCCAAAAACCCACTGAAATTCTAGGATGGACAAAGAAGGACTTTTGAAGGTTTTACTAACGTTATACTGGGAAAATGAACATGCCGAAACGCCTTCCTACAAATCCGGAAATGCCTAGTAACGTAATAGTAAGAAATTAATGGTGTTTTTCGTCCAATTTAACTAGATTTCAGGTCAAAAATAATTTTAAAAACCTAGAAAATTTTTGCCAAAATTATGGTCGGAAAAATCGATATTTTGTAATGTTTAATCAATTTGTAAAGTTATATGCGAACCGCGTTTTTTTTAAACCCCTTAAACGCGCTACTTATGACTTGCACATCGACAGTTCAAGCAGAAGAGCACTCTGCCCATTGAAGTCATGCGTTAGTGATAGAACAGGGCATGCATACCTGCCCCACCTGAAGCACCAACAGCGCCATCCCCACGGACCTCCGCTCCGTCGTCTCGTAAATTCGTACGAATAATGTTGCGACGGTTCGTTCTGAATCTTTTTTTTTCGCGAAAGTGCTTCCGAAACCCACCTATCACCAAAACAGCCAACCCTAGACCGGTCACGTAAATAGCCGTATCGTGGAGTGTTTTCGCGAACCGGCAGTAAGGTATCCCTAAATACTGAAATACGAGCGATCTTGTCAAATTCTCACCGCCAACATCAATATCAAACGCGTAAGCCACCCACAAGGGAGCGATGATCAAATATCGGGAAACGATGACCAGGATGAAAGTGAATGAGAAATTTGCCAAAAGTAGCCGAAGATTCTTAAAAATAAAAACTTGTTTAGTCTGCGATCTATTGACTACCAAATGAAAGCATTTTGTTCTCCGCAACACTTGCAGAAAAAGTAGACAGCTGACGTTGGCGACGAGCAGTATGAGAAGCTCCAGATTATAAAGCGCCATCGAGATGCCGCCTATTCGCTCGGATAGAGGGGCCATCTAAACCTTCGCGGATCTTTGAAAATCCAGGATGCAGCAGCAGCAACCAACGTCGAGGACAACCACAAAACATTCGCGAAAACCAATCTGATTAGCTGAGGGAGGAGAGATTTAATGAAATTCCGTTGCCAAACAAAGACACGCTTTCAATCAGCGAATGGCAAACAATTGCCGCCCCAAAAAAATGAAACATTGCGCGTAGAGCGGGGCCCTCGGGAATCGATGTCGTGCACGAATTCCGAAGCGGATCCAGCAGGGGTGATTTGGGCCTTTCGTGGGACGTATGATCCGTTGCGCAAACACTCGAATGTTTGAAAACAGATCCGCACCCCCCAGTCAGCGCCACTCCACGCATTTTTGGCGAAACGCACTATAATCATCGAATACACCCCGTCAGCTAGTCGCTGTCAGAAGCCGCCTGAAAGGACCCCCAGGCCAGCCACTTAAATTGAGAGCCCTTGTGGAATGAATAATAATTGGCGTGCATTTTTTTGCCGTCGGCGGGGAAGCTATTATCATCTTTATTATGTGCACATATAAGCAGTTGCGTTTTTGAGAGCTATACAATTGAAAACGTTCGGATGATGAGGCACATTTGGATTTTTGAAACAGATAACACTAACAAAACAATTAAAATACAAAGACCAGTCTAGTTAATGAGAAATACCCTATGTTCGCTGATTTAGTGGTGGCCGGCCCAACTCGTGTGTCCCTTCGTCGAGAGGGAATAGATTTCTTCGACGACGATCAGTGCTGCAGCCGCGCCAACGCCATACTTCCATCCGGGCAGGATCAACTAAAAAAACAGCTATGTGTTCAGATGAAAAGACAATATCTAGTTGGATATCTGGATCAAATCAGAGGTCCAAACCAGCTAACGCTTGTATAAAACTGAGCCGGGAAAGTCATAAATATTAAGCAAAATGAAGCAAAAAATCAGGCTTACCTTTTTGAAGTGCGCCCATTGTCCGTAGACCTGCGGATAGTTGCGATCGAAGAGATAGACGTAGTTCCTAAAATAAGCCACATTAATTTTTGCGAGTAACGAAATTTAAGTATTTCCCGACGATAAATTAGCTCAGAATTTTGTCCTGTATTATTTAGAATGGGCTAGATTTCACACAGCAACAACCCTGGGAATTACCGAAAAATTCAATTTGATGGATTTTCCAAATCACCCAGGCATTGACAAAATAGGGCAGATTAGATCGGACCGGAAAAAAATTAGCAACTCGCCTAATCCATGGGTCCTTGAGGCCGACTTGTGCCAGCCGCTTCTCATGCGCGGCCAATTCCGGGAAGTCGCGGTAGTTGTTGTAGATGCTGTAGTGGGGGATTTTGAATGGCTCGTGCGCGTGATGTCCCCCTCCCATCTGAAAAAAATACTGATTTAGGAGCTGTAGAAAAATGGTTGGAAAAAAAGAAAAATGGGATAGCGGCTAATTCCGTCTTTGATATTTCCAAAAAGAAAGATTTTTCAAATTGAGCAATATACGTAAAAGATTCATCCAGCCTGGAGCTTGAGCTCAAGCTTAGAAGTTGAAGCAAAGTCGGGCCGGAGAGACCCTTTACCCCAGGAAAATCGGAAAGGTGCGGCCTCGTGGCGGGACCAAGAGGGCAGTTTGGCAGAAAGCCAAGCCAGAATTACCCCATGAAAGTTGGCTTTTGGTTTTGCATTTTTTTTCAAATCTAATTTTTACAAGAAAACTGTTGTTCTAAGCCCATGAAAATGAATTTTTACCAGATTTTCACCGATACCTCTCGGAGATAACTTATTTCCACTCCCTTTGAGCAATTTTACTTCTACAAACGAGCTACTGTAGTTTTAGACTATCAAAAACTTTCTTTTTCCAGGCTCCATGTTCGACTGGATCGTGGTGATCGTCAAGGTCGTGACGGAGATCGTCCGATCCGGATGCGATTTTCTCGGCTGGAGCACGGTTTGGCTGCGGGACGTGATAAAGGTATGATGTAACTTTCGTCTGATCGCCCGTTTAGGAGAGCCAGATGCAAAGATCATATCTGCTCCTGAAGACGCCACAGCATCTCGCCGTCACCTTCACCGAAAAGAAGAAAATTAAACTGGTAAATTGGCTCTGGCGTACGAGCAAACTGGATTCAGAACGAGCTTCGACGCTTCCTGGAGTTGTGCCGCTCATCCGGTGTCAGGCGCGTCTCGCTTTACGATCCATGGGGTGAATGTCTTGCATTATCTGCATTCCTGAAGAACAGTGCCGACAAAATGGTATTATTCCCTGTTTTTGGAAGTAAAATAAATTTTTTAGGACATCCTACACGACGAGGAATTTCCGGATGTCCGGGAAGCGGCCTTTGCTGTACAATTGCTGGGTCCGCTGTCCGGACGGGAATTGGTATTGCAGAGCATTCGTGAGGTATATATTGATGGGAATATTTTAGAGTCAAACTCTGAAGAGATTGATTTTTTGTGCTTTCGCGGAATCGGCTGGGATGCATATTTTTTCCAAGAAACCTAAATTCGCCTTGTAGCGCAAGAGACAGTATATTCGTGGAACATTTGGGGGAAAGTTAGCTATCCCAGTTAACTATACTTATTATTATATATTGAAGTGAAAAAGCCATTTATCAGGTTGATGGTAAACTTAGAAAAATATTTGAAATTTTTAGACAGTTTGGTCGAAAACTTCATATTTTTTGTTTCTTTTTCGCAGAACTCTAGATTTGCCTGGTAGTGTAAGGGAAAGTGTATTCATGGTTCTTTTGGGAAAACTTAGTTATATCGATGTCAAAAAGCCATCTATAATCTTAGAAAAACGTTTGAAAATTTGATATTTTGATCGAAAATGTGGTGTTTTGTGTAAGTTTTTAGGTTAGGAATTAGAAGAGACTCCCCCTGTTTATATAAGAAAAAAATGGGATCTAACGAATAGAGTCTTCCTCCCACGGTTTTGCGAATTTTTTACTTTTAGCTCCTCCCTACACCTGGCCAGCTAACTATGGAAGCGTTCGACAGTCAGCTGCAGAAGCATGGCGTGCCCGAGCCAAACATCCTCCTCAAAATAGGGCAACTGCCAACGATGGCTGGGTAAGAAATTGCCATATTCTATTAAAAATATTTTTTTAGATATCCCCCATTGGCCATTCGTGTCACCGAGATCGTATTGGCGCGCCGTCTGCCGACCACCCGGTCGTCCTTCTACAATGCCCTCAGCGACTATTCGAAACGGGATATTCGGTTAGGAAAATGATTGTTTGCAAAGATTAGACCTCGATTGTTAGCCATGTTTGCGTCCGTTTGTTGTTAGTAGTACACCCTCGTGCCCAAAGACCAAATGTGATAATGTATTACGATTACTAGTGCTCCCACCCCAAATGTTATATTCTTTTGTTATATATTCTCGCGCGCGTACCCTGCCCCCCATTACAGGTCTTCATCTCCATTTCGCTTCTGCGCCCCGTTAAACTTTGACAAGTTGTGCCCATTATCAAGCTTTAATCGTTGATTAATTTGTTACACGTTTGAGATAAAGAATTAATACGTTTTGTGGTTTCTCTCAGCAATTATAGTCGTCAGCTTTGTCAGGGTGGTATTTGTGGGCGACCGAGAGGAGGAGAAGAGGCGGGGAGAGGGAGAAAGAGCTCTGCTTTTTCTGCGCCTTCTGTTTTCTCTACACCCTCTAGTGTATGACAAATTCTCTTTTCTGGCCTATGGGCCCGTGAAAAAGGATCCCCTGCTTCGACATTATGTCATGCCAAAATTTTCTCTTGAAATTTTCTGAAAACTATAAAAATTTGTGAATGGAGGTATTTTATTGTCCGACGCCGCCCAGCCCCAGCTTTTTATTTTTATTTGCTTTTTTCTTTGGGACGCGCGAGCCACTTGTCTTCTTCCCCCCATTCTCTCACATTCTCCAATTCTTACCGTTTAATCAATACAAGCCCCCACGGGCCTCGTTCCCCCATTGCTCGTGCGCTACGTGGCGACGCTAAATTTTACAAAATTTGTAATTTAGGTGTAATTAGCTGACGCCACCATGGGGTTGCTGACGAAAGGAAGCCCCCTGAGCTGGGCGGAAACTGTGCCCTATGTGGAATTTATTAAGGTTTGCAGGAAATTTTTGATAATTATTAGTTTTAGAAACACGGCATCGCTCAATTCATCAATTTATACCATCGTCTGAAGGCTAGATCTGTAAGGTCCAGTTTAATTTTTGTAATTTGGAATTCTTAGGGTGATCAGCTGAAATGGGGCGACGAGATTGAATACACCATCGTCAAGTTCGACCACGAGGGCAAGAAGGTAATTGTTTTTAGAATTTTTTGCTAACTGTCATTTTAAGGTGCGCGTTTCGCTTCGTGCCGAGGAATTGCTCTCCCGACTCGCCGCCGAAGAAGAGGTTTTTTAAAAGCCCTATTCATCGGCTTGTTTTAGGTGAACAACCTCATCGGGACGGCCAACAAGTTTTTGTGGAGACCCGAATTTGCCGCCTACATGGTTGAAGGAACGCCCGGTGCCCCCTACGGAGGTCTAATCGCTTGCTTTAACGTCGTTGAAGCCAGCATGAAGTTGAGGAGAAGCGCCATCAGCAAGCTTCTGAAGAAGGTAAGCGATTTTTGATATCAAGGTAACTTTTTCAAGGACGAGAGCGTGCTGTCAATCTCTTTCCCAGCCCTTGGCACCGCTGATTTCACGTTTCCTCCTACGAAATGTACTCCTGACGACGAGGAGGGGGCCGGAAGAAGCGCTTTCTTCCCTGATGATGCGATTTATGGAGGGCATCCTAGGTGCTTTGAAAAAATATCTGTGTTTACCAAGCTTTTTTAGATTCAAAAATTTGGTTCGTAATATTCGAGGAAGACGGGGCGAGAAGGTTGCGATCAACGTGCCGATTTTCAAAGATGTCAACACCCCGCAGCCATTCAAGGTTTTGTTTTTTTTCTCGCGTGAACTGACCCAACTTTTTAGGAGACTTTCCACGATGAATTGACCGGACACGTGGAGCGAGGCCTTCAGGACCATATTTACATGGATCACATGGGATTCGGCATGGGTTGCTGCTGCTTACAGGTCAAGTAAAATTTTTTACGGCTGCGGATTTCCTCGATCACAAGCTCAGGGCTTCTATTTTTTCATTTTTAAGTGATTGTTTATCAAAGAGAGAGCAAAATACCGAAAATTGGGAGTAAAATTGATTGATTTTGACTAATTTCATCAGTTTGACCAATTTAAATCCCTGAAGCTGATTCACAAGCGCACAAAAACGAATATAACTGTTGTTCGCATTTCGAAAACTAGAAAACCTTGGAAGGTTTTCCAGGGGTTTATTCAGTAAGACAAATTACATTCTTTTGCTTTAGGTGACTTTCCAAGCCGTCGACGTCAAAGAGGCTCGCTGGCTGTACGATCAGCTAACCCCGATCACTCCGGTGCTGTTGGCCTTGTCGGCGGCGACGCCGATTTTCCGGTAAAATTTCCTTCCTCACATCAATATCTTGTTGCAGTGGATATTTGGCCGACGTTGATTCGCGCTGGGATATCATCAGTGCGGTAAGATCATTTTGCATAACTTTAATTCTTTTTTAGAGTGTCGACGATCGGACGGCTGAGGAGCGTGGGCTGATACCGTTGAAGACGAGCAAGTGGAAGATTGATAAATCGAGGTGAGTGCGAGGGAATACCTTCAAAAAAGTCCATTTAGATACGACACTACGGATTGTTACATATACCCCTGCTCTGCGGCCTACAACGACATTGAGCTGCAGGTATGGAAATTTATTATATCTTTTTAGATCAGGCGTTGGGGTAATTTAGCGTCTCATTAAGTGTAATCTTCTTTTTTTTTACTACTAAAATCATCTGTTATTTTTTTTGGATAAAATAACTGCTTTTTAGTATGATGAGGGCATCTTCAAGCAACTCCTTGACGGAGAAATTGATGAGCACCTTGCCAAGCATATTGCCCATATGTTCATCCGAGATCCGCTACAGGTAATTTTTGATTGAAGTGTGTGGTTGGGAAAATGAATCTTTTTTTTTATTTTCGTTTTACTTATTTTGTAGGTATTCCGCGAGCGCATCGAGCAGGATGACACGAAGAGCTCTGAGCATTTCGAGACGATCCAGAGCAGCAACTGGATGAATATGCGCTTCAAGGTACCCCTGGCCAATTTTTCTTCATCCCCTATTTAGCCCCCACCACCGGATGCCCCGGAAATTGGCTGGCGCGTCGAGTTCCGACCCACTGAGGTAATACATTATTTATGTGTTAATTTCATTTTATTCAGGTCCAACTCACCGACTTTGAAAATGCGGCTTATTGCTGCTTCGTCGTGCTGCTGACTAGGTATAAATATCGGCATTCTTTGGAAGTATTTTTATTGCTAGGGTAATCCTCTCGTATCGCTCGACGTATCTGCTGCCAATTTCGATGGTCAATGAGAATATGAAGCGCGCTCAGAAGCGGGACGCTGTTTTGGAGCAGAAATTCTTCTTTAGAAAGGTATCAACCAAATAAATGGCATTAAAATCTGGTGTAGGGAGTAGCCACTTGCCGTCACCCCCCAGATGAGGCCGGAGGTGGCGATTCGGCCGCCTGCACGGTCGGCAATGCAAAGAGCGAGGATATTGAAGAAATGACGATCAACGAGATTGTTAACGGTGAGATTTCGGGGGTTTTACATACAGTCGGGGGGTAGTTCTTTGGCAATACCGGGCGGCATTTTCTTATGAGCGGTATTTTTCAACAAAAATGTCGAATTTTTAAGGATTTTGGGACTTTTAGATAATTTTCGGCTTGAAAGATAGGTTCATTTGATCAAAAACACGCTGAAATTTTGCTATTCGCTTATTATGAATTCCTGGACCCCTAGAAAAATTTTTTGCTCCGAAATTGTGAAGCCACTTTTGTTTTTCTAGGGCGTGAAAAAGAGTGGCCCGGCCTGGTGCCCATGTTGAAGCAGTTCCTCGACTCGGCCGATGTCGATGTTGACACCCGGTGCACCATCTCGCAATATCTGAACTTCATCTCGGTAACTTTCCAAGTTTTACGATATCGCAATGTCTGTTCAGCAACGCGCCTCTGGGCAAATCCCTACACTGGCCAACTGGACCCGCGAATTCGTTCAGAACCACGCTGCCTACAAAAAGGACAGCCGCGTGCCCGATGAGACGATCTACGATTTGCTGTCCTTGGTATGTTAAAAATGAGAAAACATATTTAAGTTGAAAATTTTGGTTTTTTCGCGTTTACGGGATTTTTCCTAAGGATCCAATTTTTCAATAAATAGATCAATAAAGCGGAAATTTTTCTAAACTGTTTTTTTTACTATGGCTAGGCGCAACAAATTGTCAGTTACAAAATACAAAAATGTTACCCAGCCAAGAATTCCGATTTTTGCTAAAAATGTCGACGCTTTAATATTTTTAACAAGTTTTCCGATGGTTTTTACTAGTTTTATATAGCTGTTTTACTAAAAATATTACAAAAATACTCCCTATTAAGTTAATAGGTATTTTTAGACTTATACTTAAAAGTAAAATGCATTAATATGAAAATATTTTTTTAGATGTCGGACATCTCCTCAGGCCAAAAGCATTGCCCTCGCCTGCTCGGCTCCTTCCGCTCAAAAACCGACCAACTGATCCCATCGGCAGTGCGACGAGCCGAAGAGAGCCTCGTGATGAACATGCAAAAGAGGGCCCACTAGCAAATCATTGTGATTTTTTGACGGTGACCTTGTGATTTATTGTTTTTTACCCGTGTATCTCTCCAGTCAAATAATTTATTATTACACATTTATAGGCCATCATTTGTTTTGTGTCTACGATTTTTGGTATGAGCCCATGTCATGTTTTTTGGCTAATAAATTACCTGGTGAAGCATTTTTAATCGTGATTTTCTTTATTGGGTTTAAATTTTTCAGGTGAGCCAAAAAAGCGTTCGGGATTTCTGGATTTTGAAGCCATTTCGGGGGCAGCAATCGCGCCGCGCTGCTTTGTGCCCTGTGGCTTCATGTTGCTAGGGGCTGAATGCATCCAGGAGAAAATGAAGTCACCTAACGTTACTAAAGCAATTTTGCTAAAGTACTAAAATATTGCTGGATTCAACGCGTATTCAATTCAATTCTAATTGTTTTTGATGGCTGCACAGTAATCAAAAATTCTGTTTAATTTCCGTTATAGAGTTGTATCGAAAAAACGCCAAATAGCTACGGCCTGCCTTGGGCTTTCGATTTTTGGGCTCTATTCATTCTCAGCGGGTTGGAATCGAGAGGAAGGGGAGCAAGAAGTTGTGAGCAACACTAGGAGCTTTTTTAATTGGCTGGAAATTACAGATGAGCCTGACAATCGAAGGATCAACCGGAAAACCGTTCAACGAATCGTTAATCTCTTATCTTCAGCATTTCGGGCTCGACAACAAGCAGATCAAGGCGACGACGGCGAGAAGGATTCAGTGGGTTAACAAGTGGAAGGGTTTTTATATAACTTATGTGGTACTGGACTGTTAGCAAGGGGGAAACTAATTTTTCTCAGTAATCCTGTACGGTCCTATAACAATGGAAACCATTTTTATCGCTTTTTACAAGGTTTTAGAAAGATTGAACTTTTCAAAAGGTTTAAAATATTTTTGTAACGTTCTAGCAAGCAATAATTATAAAAATACGCTGTTTATTATTAACAGGTAAGCATAAAACAAACATCAGTTTTGCCTTGCTAAAATCCCCCTGCTAACAGTCCAGTACCACTTCTGATTCAGATTCTCGAAAGTCGTCTTCGCCATGTACAGCTCGAGCAACCATTTTGGCGAGAGCCGCTACACGCTTCACGAATTCCGGAAGCGCTTCAACAACACGATCATCTACTATGATCTGGGGCTCCATGTTGCACAGGTTTTTCGTTTTAGAGAAACTAGGATTCTGGTGCACCATCGGTGGGTGGGATAATTTTTCCTACGTCCCAAACCGCAAATAATGTAATAAAAACAATTTACCGAGCTTTTTACTCCCTTTTTAGGGGCAATTGTTTCCTTTAGTGGCATATAAATTCAGAGACGTGAGGTGAGCGGCGTGTGCAACCTGTTCATCCGCCACCTGAACTTCTCCCACTACCCGGCCCATGTGAAACGGTTGCACAGCTACGCCTTCAAGGTGGTCATTGCCGCGGTGGGTTTTGAGCTCGAAACTAAAATTTAGGTATATTTTTTAGGAAATGCTGAGAGACTTTGACGCATTTTGGATGGTGGATACGTCAGTGCATTTTGACGATAAAAAATGTTTGGAGCGACTATATAACGATTTGAATAAAGGCCAGGTATCTGCGTTTGATCTAAAAAAATGTATTTTAGGCCCCAGACTTTTTGATGGGCCAAAAAGTGGGAAAACAATTGAATTACACGCATAAAGGTCTGATTTAGCCTTTTGAACGGTTTATGCCTTTTTTAGGAATGTTCGAATACCTTCCATTTCCTGGAAAATACCACGATGATGTGCAGCGGGAAGCTGTCCTATTTCTGCGACGGAGTGCGGTTAGTAAGACGGCGATGAAATGGTGTGTTTTTGAGTTATTTTGGGGGTTTTTGCGTTATCGGGGGAGGCCAACTTTTCCGCGGAACCGATTTTTCTAATATAAATAGGGGACGTTTTCCTAAACCGTTTTTGCTATTTTTTTTAACCGTAGAGAACTCTCAAATTTTCAGCACGCATAGAAAAAAGCAGAATTTTTCGAAATCTTTCGAGAATTGAAAAATTTCGACGAAAAACGACCAATTTTCGCTCGCGGTTCCGAATATGATGGTTAAATTTTACCGTAAGCACTGGTAAAAAGCGCTATTTCGTTACTAGACAGCCCCCGATACCCCCCCCGATAAAGCGAAAGCACATAATTCTATTGGTCTAAATTCAGGTTGCTACTTTGTGCATTGACAAAGGAATGCATTGCACCGCCGGGGTCTACCGTTGTTTGTATGAAAAAGGGGGTTTCTGGATGTCATCGGTAAGTTATTATTTGACTTTTTCGTCTATTTCTTCTTTCGCATTATCGCGGGGCCTAATTTTACAAGTAAAGGATAGAAACGTAATAGCAAATATTTTAATAGTCTTGGTAATAATTTTGAACAATATTTAAAAATCAAAAATCGCACATTTTTGAAAATATGCTCGAAAAATCGGTATTTTTGATGAGAAATTATAAAGTTCCAAGCTTAAAAATAGTAAAGTACCACTATTGTTTATCTTAAAAAAATTTAAATCGAAATAATTTTACAGGAAACATTGCTGCCCCCCGATAACGCCAAAGCACCTGATCTCTTTTAGATACGACCAAAGCGCGAGTAATCTAATAAGAGCTATGCTGCTACGGCCAAACCCCCGACACTTCAACTACCTACACAGATGTGCAAAAGTGGAGCGAGGACTCTGGCGGAAAGAGCCATTAGCCAAGGGTTTATGCGAATAAATTAGAATTTGAATATTGAATATATTTGCATTAAAACAGAAGATATCCTATTTTTTAATTAGTTGAATTTTTCATTGTTTCACGCGAAAAATGGTGGCCGCTCGGACGTCGTGGGGTACCCTACAGCGGCTGTTGCTGATCATCCTTGTCAGTTTTTCTTTTTGCTTTTTTCAGGTCACCCTGGGTACTAGGCCGTTAGCGGGGGTGAGCGGATTAACGGAGGATGACGATATCTCTACGACCAACTCTGAATTTTTAAAGATTTGCGTTAATTTATATGCATTTTTGACAAAAAAGTCGAAAAATTTCGACATTTTTAAGTTTTTTGATGGATTTTTTATTTAAAAACTGTCTAAATGCTAGAAAACAAAAAATTCGTTACAAAATTACTTGCAAAAATTTAACCCTCCCCCCCGCTAAAAGTGCAGTACCATCACACCCCGTAGGTGCTCGAATTCGCGGCGGCCGTCGTGCTGCTCAACCATGGCGAGCTGTTCGGCGGCAATCAACCGTCAGCCCTGGGCGCGTTCATCTCGTTGGGCGTCTCCTGGATTCTGGTGTTCCTCGTCTACCTCGTCATGCACTGCGAGGGCCAACGGGCCAAGATACAATCACTTGTCGTACGTGAAAAAAGACCATTTTTGAATGGATTTTAGTTTGTGATCCTGCTCGTTTTCGGGGGCCTAGCCTCGCTGTCGGCGCTGATCTGCAACATTGTGCTCGTGATCAACGACAGCAGCGCCGGCAAGAACTACAAGGTGTCCGTCATTGGCCTGGTGGGTTTTTCATGTTGATTTCGTTATATTTTTGTGCTTAGGAATTCAACGGGATGGCGTTGCTGATCAACGTCGTCAACATTCTACAGTATATGATGTGCTACCCGGCTGGCGATCATCAGGTTTGTTATCCTAAGAATTTCCCGGGTTAACAAAGTTCGCAAAAAGCTTAGAAAACCCCCAACAGCGATTTTTCGGGGCGAATTAAGTGACGGTGCTTTTGCATTATCGGGGGAGATTTATCGCAAAATAAGGCTAAACTCTAGTTTACCCCCCCCCCCAGCCGTAACTTTTCAGCCATACGTCCTATTAATGCGCCGAGTATCTCAAAATGTTCCCCGTGGTCGAATTACTATAAAAAAGTTGTTTTCTTACATCCAAAATTGTTAGAAAAATTTTTATAACAATTATAAGTCTGGGTTTTCTTTAGTTAATTTTTGCTGTTCCAAAGTGAGTTTTCGTATCTCGGCTATCTTTTGACGTACAGAGCTGTCAATGGTACCAAAATGTAGCTCTTGCTCTGTAGAATAAGCCTACAGTACGTTTGAGTCGAAAAAAATAGCGGAAAATAAAAATATTTGAGTTTTAGGCTCCTGGTACATTGAAGCACAGCGGCTTAATCTTTTCAACTTTCAAAATCTTGTAAAAAAATTTCTAGCAATTTTTGCCGCAAGAAAACAACTTTTTTATAGTAATTCGACCACGGCGAACATTTTGAGATAATCCGCGCATTAATAGGACGTATGGCTGAAAAGTTAGGGCTGGGGGGGGGGTAAACTAGAGTCTTACCCAAAATAATATTCTCAAAAGCTTTACAATTCTTTATTGAGAAAAAATCACAAAAAATCTCGATGTTTCGTTAAAAATGGCCTATTTTCGATCATAATTTCGAAGTTTTTAAGTTTCATAAATGTTTTTTTTTTGCACTTGAAATCTAGCTAGATTCACGAATATATCTTTTGAAGTACTTACTATTGCGTTACTAGGCATTTCTAGACACCTAGGAATAAATTCGGTACCCCTTTAATGCAAAAAGCACCGAATTTTTGCCCTTTTCAAGCAAACTAAAAAGGGATGGGGCCTCCTGGGGAATAGCTTGCCCCCTAAACCACAATCCCCAGGAGTTATCCCATCCCTTTAGGTGTACTCGCAAAGGCGCAAATCAAAGAAGGGAAAACGATCGAAGGGCGGAAGTGACCTTGAATCTCAGGTGCTCGAGAGTGTCGAAGAAGCCGGAGGCAAAAGCGCCAAACGATCCGTCCGCGGCACCCCGAAAACACCGAAAACGGTGGGTGAATCGATTCCCGAAGGAATCTCTGCTTGTCGGCTATTAGGTACTGGGCTGTTAGCGGGGGGCAGAATTAAGCTTAGAAATTTCACAAAAAGTTGGAAATATTTTTCTGTTTTGGCCAAAAATGGATTTTCCTAGCCATCAAAAGCTACTAAAAAAATACAAAGTTACGCCATTAAACGCAACCAATGCTGTGTGGGTTAAATAACTTTTCCACCCCCGCTAATGGCCAAGTACCGACTACGATATCAATTTACGAAAATTCTGAAAAATAAAAACGGAAGGACTTGTAAATTTCAGCCGGGTGATGGCTCGGTTCGCTCCGGGAAAACGCCGAAAACGCCGAAAAGCCCGATGACGGTATGAATTTTTACCGTCTCTCTCTCGCTCTCTCTCTCTCTCGCGCTCTCTCTCTCTCTTTCTGCCTCTCTCACCCCATCTTTTCAGAAAAGCGGCTCCCGCAAAGGCTCCAAAATCAGCTCGGTGCGCTCTAACAAGTCGAACAAGTCCAACAAGTCAAAGAACTCGAAAAAGTCGAAGAAATCGAAGAAGTGAGCGCGGCGTCCACATCACTCCGCTACACTCCATCCGTACGGTGTATCGCCTCGCCATCCCCCATTTCTTTCTCTTTTTTTCTCTGCTCTCGATGATACTGCTTCTCGTTTTGCACTCGTTCTCCGTTGGGCAGTGGCTAATAAATGGTTTTGAAATACAGTACGTTTGATACCTATGGACGTGTAGTTTTTAGCTTTGGTTGTAACGTGGAATGCCTCGGAATATGGGCGAAAGATGCGAAAGATTTATCAAAAAAGATTGCACAGGGTTGCGGGGAGGAAGGGCGGCTCGATTAGGAGGGACCTGTATCCAACGGGGCGAGTCATGGGGTTTTTTGGTACTGGACTGTTAGCGGGGGGGTAAGTTTAAATTTTCCGCACACCTATCGACAAGCTATGTATTTTTATAGTGGGTTTTAGTGGTTTTTAACTTCTAGGCGGCTATAAAAACATCTTAAGAATTCAAGAAATCGAAATTTTTACTTTTTCATAATTTTTCATACATTTTTGACCAAAAAGTCAAAGTTTTTCCTTTTTCAGCTCAAAAACTTTATAAAATGCCATAAAAATGGTTGCTATTTCGCTATTTGGCAATAAGCAATTACTGGAAAAGTTTTGCCCCCCCCCCGCTAACAGCACAGTACCAAGAAAAGAGGGTACGGTAAATAGAGCGTTTTTAGACATACCTTACCGTACCCCCAAAGAGGCAAAAAATAAACCTAAAGCAATCCGCGGTGTGAAAATAACTGGAGGCGACACTGGGATACGGTAGAAGACCGGATATGTGTGTGTTTTTGGGGAATGGACGGGACAGTACTATGGACAGCAGGGCGGAATGGCACGGAAACGGGGGGAAAGCTGGAAAATCAGACGACAGGCGGGGGCTTTGGCTGGGCAGGCGGGTCGAGAGGGACACCGGGCGGCCGGATGATGCCTGTAATTTGTAGCGTATTGTAGTGTGGATAGGAGCGGAGCGTAGCGTAAAATTCGTACTAGAAAAAGTTCGCTTACCGAGGGGGAATTGCGTCAACAGCATTTGGGACAACATGCCGGGATTGAGGAGTGGACGCTGCGGGTTCGGCTTGTTTAGCCAATCTGAAAGGGGCGGCTAGCAGGGATTTTTCGGGCTCGTTGTTTTGGCTACGGTTCACTTTACCCCCAGCCGGAAGTTTTTGGCAATAACTTTTTTATTTTACATTATTGTAGACTCAAATTAAAACTCTTAGTATATTTTTCGACGCTCTATCGAATGGCGTTGCGAAAATCCCGACAAAATAAGCGAAAATACCGACAACTTTCAGACCCCTCGGCTGTGGGGGGGGGGTAAAGTAAACTCTTACCGTTGTTTTTGTATATTTATCTGTTATTGATTAGTATCACAGTTTATTTTATCCGTAGCTTATTTATATATTACATTTTCTATGTTTTATTGTGGTTCTTTGCGCAATATCGGGGGGTTGTCCAGGGGAGAACTAACGTTTTCTTTAGTAGCAAATTATTTTAATTAGAAATATTTCCACTCTCTCTTTTTTACTATTGCTAAAGAAAGCCATGACATTTTTTGTAAAAAAATACGGGAAGAGTTTACTTTACCCCCCTCCCCACAGCCGAAGGGTCTGAAAGTTTTCGGTATTTTCGCTTATTTTGTCGGGATTTTCGCAACGCCATTCGATAGAGCGTCGAAACATATACTAAGAGTTTTAATTTGAGCCTACAATAATGTAAAATAAAAAAGTTATAGCCAAAAACTTCCGGCTGGGGGGGGGGTAAAGTAAACCGTAGCCAAAAATACAAAAATACGACTTTTTAAAAAAATGTTTAATCGTTTTTAAAGAATTTGTCAAAGTTTTTAGATAGTTTTTAGATAGACTTTAAACGTAGCTAAGTTTTACTAAAAACAGATTAAAGTACTACTTTACTAATTACGTTTACGTTACTAGGAATTTCTGGAAAAACTATAAAACTCAAAAACTTCCAGAAAAAATTAAGACCGCCCCCTAATAAAATCCTCCCCCCCGATAATGCCAAAGCACCGGAATTACAAAAAGGCAAGTTTAACAAAAATTCAAACCCACATTGCCCGAGCAGGGCCTGCTGAAGAAGGGCGGGATTGTAGAGGGAGGGCAACAGGAATGGCGGCAGCTCACATTTCGATTCACTAAACGGATAGCTGCTAACCTTAAAAAATTGCATAAATCAATACCCATCATAGTCGGGGGATCGGCCACTCGGATCGCGGAATCCCTTCGCAAATGGGTTCTTCTCGATCTTCAGTTTTGTGATCTGAAAATGATAAAAATTAGTCACCCCCAAGAACTCTATTTCTCGACCTACGAAGGTCGGATTGTAATAATTTTTATAGCATTCGAAAGTTCAGCAAAAGGCGAATTTAACAACATTAAGGTATCCCTTTTTATTCAGCATTTTCCAAACGATTTTGTAAAAATTAAAGTTAAGGTTCCGTTTTTGGTGCTTTTGCTTTATCGGAGGGGGTGGAAACTTTTTACTATGATGAATTTTTCTAATATAAAGAGAGGAAGTGTTTCAAAGCAGTTTTTTACGAAAACGTCAAAACTTTCAAATTTTATTAAAAAGATATCGATATCGATAATATAGATTTTTCGATCAAAATGACCAATTTTTGGGTTAAAAATTGCTAATTTTGAGATTTTCCAGAAGTTCTTAAATAGTTGTTCAAAAAGCAGTTAAATTTTACTAAAAAATCTAAGTAAAAAATTACTATTACGTCAGGCAGTTCTGGACCCTTAGGAAAAAATATGGAGAAGAACCGGACGGAGAAAAAGAAAAAGGTTGGTGGCAAATTAGCTAAACGAATCCATTCTAAGCCAAAGCGAGTCCCAAGCCAATCGAAGCCCGGTCCACACGTATGTCTGAGTAGAATCGTAGTAGTATCGAATCGTAGCTTACCAACTGATTCTGATACGCCGTCACGGCCATGAATTGCGTATCCGGGAAGGCAAAAGTTCGATGGGGCTCGGCTTGCAACATCGCAGCTGTGGCCGTGGCGGTTGCGTGGCTGGCCGAGGCATCAAGAGGCCTGCAACGGAAAGCAATTACAAAAAAGCGTCTGCTTCCTATAGCGCGCCCAATCTACCGTATGCGCCACCCACCTGCTCCGATCCCGCCTCACCACATGGACTCTCGGCTGATATTTGTGCATCGAGTTGAGGATTAGCTAAATTTAAGGGTGAAAATAACATTGCGTAATGGGTTACATGGCCGGCCTTGTCGACCTCGTTGTTCGTCAGCTTCGCCTTTTCGAAGGAGACGACTTGCTTGGCGAGCTGAAAAGGGGGTAAAGGCGTTTTGATTCGGCGCAAGTTCATTAGCGGGGGGACTGATTTTTACACCGGTTAATCTTTATTTTGATAAAATATAGACTTTTTTATAGTATTTTAATGCTTCACATCATTACGAATGTTCTATAATTCAAAAAAAATTACTAAATGGTGGCAAATAAAAAACTTGGGTGACAACACAAAGTCAGCACCTCCCCCGGTAAGAGAAAAGTACCCTTTTCCCACCTGTTCTCCAGTGAATGGCGAATCCGGATGTAGATAAACCCGTGCTTTCGGTGTCGGCTCGGCTTTTCCGGCCGTCAGCCAGGCCGACTTGTTGTAGATGTAACGATACCTCAAAGGCCAGAGTTCTCTCGATTGCCCGCACTTTCTCACCGCTTATTGTCGACGGGGACGACGTCGAGGAAGACGTAGTAGAGCGCGTCCGGATCCACACCGTTCAGGCTTACTTTTACCGTGGGGAACATGCGTCTGGAAAGAGAAATATTCATTTGGATCCCAAAAATGCCGACAGCTAAAATATCGACAACCCGAAATCCGTCACTTACAATGAGCCTGGAAAAGGATTTTTTGAATTCCGACGAGAATGCCGACAGCTAAGAAAAAAAGCTGGACTGTGTGTAAAAAGAAGAGACCTCAAAATGCCGACAAGACAAAATTGCCCAGCAAAAAAGCCGATGCTTAACAAGCTTGGCCAAATCTTGACCATCGACATTTTCACTTGTCGGCATTTTGCCCTGGCTCTTTCACGGTTTCTTTTCCCTGCTGAACTCGGCTGGTTTGCTCGTCGGTATTTTTGCCAGCCTGCCACTTTTGCTCGTCGGTATTTTGGCTTGTCGGTATTCTAACCTAGCGTCATAGTTTTAGCTTGTCGGTACCCTAGCTTGGAATCACATTTAGCTTGTCGGTATTTCAGCTTAACGCTATTTCTGGCCTGTCGGTATTTTGCCAGACCTCGGCTTTTATTTGTCGGTATTCTAGCCAGCCTCATATTTTGCCTGTCGGTATCCTAGCCTGGCGCCATACATGCTTTTCTCGGTAGTTTTGGTCAGTTGGCATTTTTTGCTTATCGGCATTTCCGATCCCTTCCGTCCCCAAATAAGCTTTGCTAGTTGTCGATCGCGTTTTTCGCCTCTCCTCAAATAATCCCTGCTAGTTTCCCGGTTTTCAAAAGCGCCCCTTTTGTCCGCCCCGGTCAATACAATCGGCGGGCAGGTTTGTCAGTCTGTATACCACACTCTGGCTGTCTGTCCGGCTCGATTTTGATGGCCTCCTCCGCCCCATCCATCCATTCGTCGATTCACCCCCAACGACCCAGCCCCCCACATTTTCTTTCTTGCTTTTTTTCACCGAGCCCTCGCGCATCGTTCTCACAGTCAGGGAGAGAGAGAGAGACAAACAGACAGACAGACACGGTAGATTTGAAAGGCTACCGTAACCCTCCGGTCCCTCGTGCTCCCCACCTTATCACTTATGGGGCTAATTTATCCCCGTGAATCGGACCTCAAAGTGGCCGGTTCTCAGCGCGGACGCGCGGGCGCGAGAGCGACGCGCGTGTTTTTGCCCTTTTGCCCGAGGGGGTTACGGTAGGTGGGGGTCGTGGGATAGGTGGCTCGGGATTTTATTGATTTCCCGGAATAATTCTAGCGGAGCGCTAAGCCTAAGCATAAGCATAGCCTAAGACTGAGCATAAGCCAAGGCTAAGCCTAAGCCCAAGTCGCAAAATTCCAAAAGAATCCATAACCTACAAATTTTTCTTTTTTTGCCACTCCCTTTAAAAATACCTCCACTACCCCAAATTTTGTCCCCAACCCTGCCTAGGGGCAATAAGTACCCCCGACGAGGTCGAGAAGTCATTTAGCCACCGAGTCCCATCCCCCCGAGGGACTGTGGCCCGGGGCCCAGGCCCAATCTACCCGATGGGTCCCACCACTCTTCCCTTTGTCTCGTCCCTCCATTAACACATCCCAGTGGCGCCGTGTCTGCCCTCCCGTCAGGGGGCAATCAGACAAAAAGCGGCTACAGTACCCACCTTCCACTCTTTGTGATGATCATCTCCGTGCCCAGGTCGTGGAAACGGGCCCACAAATCCCCGCCTTCTAGTCGGCACTCGAGGGCGCGCAGCGAATCGGTGCACGGGATCGATGAGGACACTGCAAAAACGGTGATCATGATAGAAACCATAACCCAAAAAAAGTTACAATTTTTTATCAAAAATTTTGAAAATATCGATTTTACAACGAAAAATGCAAATTTTTTAAATACTTCCAAGTTTTTAGATATTTTTCGCATTGAATATATGCATAATAAATTACGTTGCGTAAAACTACGTTACTAGGCGTGTCTGGATCGGAAAAATTTCAAAAAAATACGTAACGTAAAACCACCCTTCGTAAAACCATGCCATTTTATGCACGAATAAAAATATAAAATTACCTGTAAAATCTATGGGATGCCGCGAAACATCATCGGCATCCTCAATCGCATCGACGCTTCCGTCGGCCGGGCTCGGCGCTGGGCTATCGTCCGCTAAAAATCACACTTGTACAGCGTGGTCCAAAAAAAAGTGAAGTTTGCACTGAAATAGGTAATCTGGGATTATTTCCCCAAAAGTACGGATTTTCCGAACGCTCCTATTGACGGCTAGTCAAACCTATCGAAATTCTTTACCACGCGTTTGATAGCGCATTCCAAGAGCTTCATTTTGATACCCTTGAAATCTCCCTAACTCATAAAAAGTTCCATACTTTATCGCTTCAAAGTTTTCTACTTTTTTAAAAACGTTCAAAACTTTTTAAGTTATTTTTCAAATCTTAAAAAACAACTTGTGTTATTTAAGTTGGGTTTAAAGTTTAAGTTTAACAATTTAAGCATTCTGGCAAGGTAACCATGGTCCGATTCGTTTCCCCTAGCGAGATATTTCAGTGCAAACTTCACTTTTTTTTGGACCACCCTGTAAATGCATCAATGAAAACGTAACTTCTATGGTATTCCGAAATCCCCATACTCGATTTTACGCCGTCCTCAACAAACTTTTGGTGACCCCGTGAGACATGGCCTCTCCTTTCGCACGTCAAAAATCCAAGACCCCAAAAATGTCCCCCAGGGGCCCATCGACACGTTTTCGCCCCCGTCAACCACCCTTTCCACACTCCCGCCCTCCCGTTTTCGCGTTAAAAAGGAAAAACATGGGGCAGATACCGTATCCTGGGGTACCCTCAAGACTACCTGAAGTTCCGGCCGGGCAGGCGACTTGGAGCAGTTCATCTATGCTGAACCGGGGTCGCTTTGTTGGCTCTTGGGTCGGGGGGTCTTCTGGAACAAGGGGCTTTAGAAAACGGAGCACGAAATCGCATCCTCGAGGAGTTGTACGTATACACCTATGGACGTTTGCGTAAATAGGTGTATACGTGCAACCCTTCGTGCGCTTTACTGCCTTGTGAGGCCAAAGGTGTCGAAAAGCAAAAAGTACTAAAAATCAAACAAACCTTCTGCTTTTTCGTCGCTATCTCGACTCCGTTTTTCTGTCGTTCTGGCCATGCGATCGTCTGGAAAAACCAAGGTGTAAAAATTTAATGTAAACGAAAAAAACTAGCTTTAATTACAGTGATACAAGTAAAATATCGTAGAATAGAATAGGATAGGAAATCGAAAGCGTGCAAAGTCGCGGCCTCCAGGAAAGCATCGGCAAGATCAGAAGAAATCCTGCAGTCAGATCGCCGCAAATTAACGAAAAGATAGCCAACAATGCTGCGGCACGATCAAGCTTTTTTGGCTTTTCAAATTCGCCACAAAACCTTACAATTGGCAATTTAGAAAGGTAGCAAAAACCGACAAAATCCTCAAATTTAATTTTTCCCGCTATAAGCCTTTTTGTTGAAATTCGAAGCATACAAAGCACCCCAAAAGGATGGAATCCATTAAATTCCGCGCTTGGGTATAGTAGGTATCGTCTAGATATGGACCAAACCGTGAAAATGAGGATTACTGTAGCTGCTTACTCTAGGGCAGGCTTTAGGAAGCGAAACGGCACGGTCAAGTCAACTTTCCCAGGTTCGACTATACCTAAAGAAACATCTATACGAGGTTATGAAGCTAATATCGTAATATCGATCTCAAAAAAAGATGAAAATTCTTCTGCCGAGCCGCGACGATACGTTATTACTGGAATGTGAGGTGCGAAAGGAGGAGGAGGATGAGGAAGACCGCACGGGGGGGAGCGAGAACCCGCGAAAGGGGCGGGCCCCCCATTCCCAATCCTTGCACCCGCACTACCGTATCCCCCAAAGGAATGTCAGCGGTTCCACTGCTTTTCATCGAGCTCGAAAAATTCTCTGATAACGAGCCGATTTTAGATGGTCAAGGGAGCGTAGCGGAACAAGGCGAATTTTGGTCCCGGGGTCTAAATTTTTTTGGCAATTTTTCTAAAATTTTTTAATTCGTTATAAAACTATTAAAACCTTTTAAAATGCCTGTTTTGCGTGGAGCGCTTTTTAGAAAAATCACGAGGGCTATGAATTTTCTAAAGGTCTAGAAATAAGGAAAAATCGACTAGGAGTTTCCAAAAATGCTTTACGTTATTTTTGCTTAGTTTTCGCAAAAATAACGATTGATGCCAAATACAAAACCGGAACAAGATATGTATTAATTAGAGCTAACTGCCATTTATTTTCAATATTAAATAAAAGTATCGTGTTTGCATAGTCTAAAAATAACTGGGAACCAGCCTTTAATTTAAGCAAATCAAAGGCTTATTAAACGCTACAAAACTTGAGGTTGAAAGGCCAAACTCAATACCCCAAAAGTCGCCATGTCCGTTATGGAAATCGGCAGAAGCCCTTCCGGGAGCCCTTCGAAACGAACTGACATCCCCCGTCCCCTCCCCCCGTTTCTAATCCTTTCAATGACTAGATGGTATCGTGTCTTTCTCGGGCTTGAAAGCGAGGCTATGTGGTGGCCATCTGTCCACAAGGGCCCCCGAAAGGCCCCCCATCCACTCTCAATGTTTCGATCCTCCATCCCGATTGTGCGCGAATAATCACCGGATGGCCATCCTGCCAGCCAGCCTTTCCCGCATCTCCCCCACGCCCCGACAAATCGCTTTTAACCCCCGCTAGCCGCTGTGAAAATGAAATCGGAGGGCATCTGCGGAAATTCGGGTTTTAGTAGCTGGCCGATTTTAGTACAGGCAGCTGGTGGCGCTAAAGGGCTGGAAAGTGAGCGATTGTCGGTATTTTCCGAATCAGTGGCGATTGAAAACACCGACAGTTTGACCAAAAAGTATCAGATTTTTGAATTCCAGGATTTTTTTTCAGTTTTGCCGATAATCGTTCCGCTCCGCTACCACATGACGTACAAAGGAGCGTCGCGTAGTGCGCCTACTGACATTCGCGTTTTGTTCGGAAGTTTAGCAAAGGCAACTGGTCCTTTTAAAGGGATTGAGAAGTAGAGTCGTCGGTATTTTTCATATTGAAGACTGAAAAGGAAAATGACATTTTTACAAAACAGAACTGCCAGGTTTTCCGTCTCCGGTCAGCTACGTATTGACGTGCAAAGGAACGTCACGTAGATATTCCGATTTTTTTAAAGGGCTCGCTGTATCAAAAACGAACCCCAAGCGCGGAAACTCATATACGCACAGAACAAAATTTGGCCAAGTCGTGCCTCGTACTCGATTTTGAAGACGTAGCGCTCCATGTTTTTGCTTCTAGGTTCTAGCTTTGACGGATTTTGAGTAAATTTCTTTATTTTTATCTAAGAAAACATAAAAAACGATTTTTACTATTTTCAAACATCTTTAGCCTCCCAAACCTTTAAATCGGATTCATTTTCTAGTAGTGAGAAGCGGCGCGTACTTTTCGCCCGTTTCGCACTTTTTAATTGTTATTTTTACTTTTATCTCCTTTAAAAACCCGTGGCCTTCTCACCCACCCCGCCACAATACTATCATCAGCAGTCAAAGCGTGTGTACCGGGGGCTGGGGGGTGTCTTTTGGAGAGAATAGCTTCAGAGGGACACGCTCCACCACAGCGTGCGATCGTATTCATTTGCGGCGTGCTTTGAAACGCCCTTCACCCCCCACCCAGCCACTGCAAGCTGTAAAAGATCTCTAAAGGGAGCAAAGGGGCACCTGCCTCCTCATCCTCCTCCTCCCCTCTTGCTCCCATAATTGGAACACGACCAACAAGTCTTTCGGTGCTCGTTCTCTCGCTTTTCTCGGGCGCTGAAATTGACTCTCGCGGCGAGTCACCGCGAATTCCAGGCGCACCTTTGCGATGCGCTAGCGCAATTCGCGCCTGGGCTATAAAAGTAAACTGTGAAAAGTGTTTGGGGCGAATTGCTGAGTTTTGATAGCCGTTTCTTTGGTACTCTTGGCGAAATGGTGCGTTGAAATCCTAAAAATACCTTTTTCAGGACGATCGTCGAACGAGCCGATGCGATTTGGAGCATTTTGTAGTCCATAGTCCAGATCATCGCCGGGTTCCCGTAAAATTACAAATTAAAATAGTAGATTCGCTATCAGGCTAAATTAGATAAATTGGGGCTCTTTCGCATTGCCGGGGGGGATCACAACCGTTTTTTTTTAATAAACCAAGAAATCCCTAGTAGCGTAATAATAAGTATGTTAATAGTTTTTAGTAAAATTTAAGTAAATTCCAACTGGAAAACCATCTAAAAACTTCAAAAGTTTTGAAAAATCCGTCATATTTGGTCGAAAAATCGATATCATCCGTATCTTTTAATGAAAATTTTGAAGTTTTACGTTAAGGGATAGAAAAAAATAGTTTAGAAACAACTGCTCTATCTATTTTAGAAAAATGGATCATACGGGAAAAGGCCCCCCCCCCGATAACGCAAAAGCACCTAACTTAGATTTAGATATATTTAGTTCAAAGTAGATTTATCCATCTCGGTTCCCCAGCAGAATCCAGAAACCTCAAAAAAAAACTGGCACGACATTCTGCACCCGGCCAGTTCCTCAAGTACCTCCCGGCCTGGCCGCGTTACCAAACACAAAAGCACCCACCCCAAGGAGCTGTGGCTCTAAAGAGGTGATTCCATGCAAATCTCGGCCCGTTAGCCATACGGTAGCCCCCCCCTGGCAGTGCACAAGAATTGGTTGTGACGACGGGGTAGAGGAGGGGGACAGGGCTGCGGTGCGAGTTTACGACGCTGGGCGCTGAATGCAAATTGTGATGTCTTGTTGGGTTGTTGGGTTGTCTTCTCCGGGTGCTGCTCTTTCCCCTTGATGCTATCGGGGGTTGGTGGGCCAGGGGGAGGGCGCCTTTATGACTTTACGAGCTCCGAGAAGCGCCTTAAACGGACCAACCGCCCTCGCCCCATTGCCCCCCCTCTCCCGCTTATTAGCGCACCCGGTTCACGCCCTCGTATCATCGGGGGCGCACCTAAATATTATATTTGCGGGGGTGGATTACGGTGTTTAGGGGGCAAGATAGGCATCGGGATCCTAATCAGATCTCCGAGCAATAGCTGGGCAGAACCGGGTGATTTCCCGGGCACTTTCGCATTATCGAGGGGGGGGGGTCCTTGCAATTTTTCTAATAATCGAGCCTTCCTTCTTAATGATTTTTAAATGAAAATGAAATGAAACCCCGAATTCATTTAATAAAATGAAATTATAGGGGGTGAATTCCACAAAAAAGATTGCGCAGATGTGTGGCAGTGTCCCCGAAATCGCGCCCAGTTTCCACACCCTACCCCTGACTCACCCCAAAAATTTCCAACCCCGCAAACTACGGTATGTTGCGATTGGCGAGTGCCGCAAAGCCGCCGGCTGACGGGGTAAAGCCCCCCAGGCCACGATCATCGCACCCATTTTTCGTGGGCCTGGGCCCCGCACGGGCCCTCTAAGGCGACGAGGATTCACGCCTAAGCCCCCGGGGAAGGCACGACGAACGGCCGGAGGATTACGACGAATTTGAAGCGGTTCGGTTGCGGTTGCTGGGCCGCTGGAATATAGGGGTAGTGGTTTTGAAGACGTCATCACATCTAAAAAGATTTTGTGGAGGCATGGACACGTTTTTGGGACTAGAATCTACTAGGGTTTTTAAAATCAGTTTTAAACCAAGGAGTCTAAAGCAAAATGGAAGGCAACAAAGATCGAGCTCTGGGTAGCTAACAAAGAACCGGTTTTAGAAACGGGATGGGTCATTTGATCGAGCTTGAAATTTTGAACTAAGCCTTCGCAAAACGCCATTCACCTAAAAACGATAGCTTGTAAGACGAAAATCTATAAATTAACGTAAAAAACGTCGGCGAGGCCGTGTGGCGCGACCGTAACCGCCATTGCCCCTCGTATCACTTGTCGATCTGGGCCGTCTGCCGTCGAGATGTGTTAATGCGTCAAGAGGGGCCGCCTGCAGTGTCCCCGGGGACCCCATCCACATTCCATTTGTCTCCCGTCGCCGACATGCCCATCCTCGCCCGCCACCCCGCTGGCAGATTCGCCAACTGATAGGGGCCCTCAGGGCCCTCCTTACTTGCCCAGCGCTTCAACGCGGCTCCAGAGATAAATCTGAATATTTAGCGGGGGATCAAGTCGGAAAGTTGGAGGTCCAGAATTATTTTTTTGCAGTGCAGCGCTAGTTGACTTTTATTAGGCTTTGGGCTTCGACCTTTTGTCCAGGCCTGGACTGGCTTGCTTGAGATGAAACAAAGGTAGCGCCGCAAATTTCGGGGAATAACAGGAAGCCTAAAACCCTTCCACTTTCAGATACAGGGTGTCCCAAAAAAAACGACCCATCTAGCATTTCGCCGTGTTACATCCAGTCTGGTCCCAAATTTGGACCAGAGGTGTATCAGACCCTAAATAACCACAATCCTGACTTACAGCCCCATAGCTACAGTAGTTTTTGAGTTATAACGAAAATACTGTTTTTCCCGGAATTCTGAACAGTTTTATCGGCTATCTTTTTGGACTTTGCATCGATTTGCATCGACTTCCGGCTGCGAATTCCTAATTTCGCTGAAGAACTGGGGTAGTTTTGCGTTGTAAAATTGTTTAAATCAAAGCTTATTTAATTAATTTTACTCTGGAAAAAATTTCTTAGGGTAAAGAAGGCCTACCGGATCATTTTCACTTAATGTTTAGGGGGTCTAATCCCACGGAAACACCATGGGAAACGGAAAATAAAGTTTGTTTTTGCTGTAACTCGAGAACGACTGTAGCTACCGGGCTATAGGTCAGGATTGTGGTTATTTAGGGTCTGATACACCTCTGGTCCAAATTTGGGACCGATTGGATGTAACACGGCAAAATGCCAGATGGGTCGTTTTTTTTGGGACACCCTGTATATCCATCGCTTTATGTAGCATTATCGCCCAGGCAATATATCAAACGCATCACACATAATACGATCACAACACAGGTCACACATGCCGTACAATTTAGCTGAGGGGAAAATGTGAAATGAGCATCCGGGGGAGAGAACATCGGGTTTTGCTAGCGGCAGTTTAGCTTCGGGATACAGATGGTAATATATTCATAATATGTACATGGGATGACCGGTGATCAGCTCCACTCCTGACGGCAGACATCGCGGTCCCAGTCCTCCCGGTACTTCTTGTAGATGCGCAGCGGGGCGTAGGCGTCCTCGACCTGCAAAAACTTTTGGTAATCTTAGCATAAGAAAATCAAAGTACCGGATCGTGAGCACCATTTTGGAATTGCTTGTCACCGAGCACCGTCTCGACCAACTGCTTCAACGGGGGACAGCGTGAGATTTTCAACAGTTCACGGAATTGCTGAAAAAGAGCGATTATCAAAAATACCGGCCGCTGACAAGAGAACCCGCTTGAAAACACACCCAATAATATGCGGTATCCCTGCAGTGTTGAACAGGATGTTCAAGTCGGAGGATCTAAAAAAAGCGGTTAGCGCAGAGAACAAAAAACCTTCAAATCATTGTCAAGGCCATGTCCAACTAATGTAGCACCAGAGATCAGTTGCTCCACGGCGGCGCGAACTTTTGAGAAGCTGGGAGCTGCAAGTAACGCATAATCTTAGCCCAGAATAACCCTAGATACCTCGCTCCAAATGTTGAGCCTCAATGCCAGAGACGAACGTCCGATAATCGGTCACCGGCACTGTGCTCTTGACGTAGGAGTCATAGACAACCTGGGACTCAATAAGTAACTTCTCAAAATCCTCACCCTTCCGCTGAAGTCAACCAGTGACACACGAGCCAACGCATGCCTCTTTCCATCCTCGCCGATGCCCACCATTTCGCAGTCAAGCCCCAGAATCTAAGGAAATAGGTTAAAGACATGAATAAGCGGTCACATTTCTCTGCCTGCATTTGTTGACCCGACCACCCAGCTTCTGTAAAGCCTTGAAATCAGTTTCCCTAAATGGGTTTATTTTTGAGAAGCGAAAACTCACTCTCGGCCGTTACGGCATGCCATCGCGAAACGTTGATAGGGATCATATTTCCGGTACACTAAACGAGACAGAGTATAGAAAAATGATGCTGATACCTTTTGTTGGGCTAGACTTCAATGGGCTGGGTTTCGATGGGCTAGACTTTGTTGAGCTGGTCTTCGCCGAGCTCGGACGCGAAGGAAAAGAGCGGGACTAAAGCGATTTCATGAAAGGCTGCCGGCAATACCGTTGGTGTGGTGTTCCCTGTCCTCGGGCTAGCTCGTACGTAACCATTAGTGATGGAGGGTTGCGGTTGAAGCTGGACGGAGAATAGGGCCAAGCATATGCTGCTAAAATTAAGATTAGGAAAGAAGAAACCAAAAAAGAGCAGGAAATAGTTGACTCACTAGAAATTTGCGAATACATCTCGGGGCCAAAAGGGACAGTCTAAAAGTAAAAACATGCGTTCAAGCAAGCACCAGTTGCATACCTTCCCAGGTAGGATGTGTGAAGGTCCACCTAAAAACCACATTTTTCTACGGGCGGGTTTTTAGCCCTCAGGCAGGTTGATTCCCGGGGCGCGCAATAGCAGTGACAGCCTTTTAGGTCGCGTAATGCAACTGATTACTCGATGTTTTGTTGAAACAAAAACTATTATAAGTGTAAGAAACTATATTGCTTTGATCGCAAGTTTATTTTATTTTACAGGTACAGCTACAAGAATAGTATAATCACATGCACAACGGCTTATTGCTCGGGTCGACGCTTTACAACGGGGCGCTAAATCTTTGCTTGCTTGTACGTATAAAACCAAATATTTTGGAAACAGCAAGACGCATCACACAAGGGTGAATCAGGATTAACAGGGGACTTCTAAAATCAGTTCTGGCTCATGGCTTTAGGGTATCCACTCAAGAAGCTTTCAGGCCACACTTCCGAGCGATACACGATGAAAAGTAGGGTTTCCTAAGTTCACATAGGTTTAAGAAGCGCAATTATGAATCGAACAAGGTTGGGCTGAGAAACTAGGAGGTTTTTCAACAAATAGACCAAAACTATCCAAAACTAAGTCGCTTCTTTCTTTCCAAGGCGAACTTCCCGTAAGCATAGTTTTAGCGCTGATCTTACGCTGTCCGGCAGCAGGAGAATTCTGAACAACAGGCCTGCCTTGGTTCCGGTTACAACAAAGCATACTTTTACAAATAGGAAATACTTTATTCAGAGTGATCGTCGAGTCCGGAAAGGTATCGGTAAAATTTTGCGCGAAGCATACATAGTCATGATTTTGGCCCAAAATTTTTTCCGTTGATTGCACCCGTGCTGTCAAGCCGAGAAGCTAGAAGGCTCGACAAAATATATTTGATAATGTCTCCCTTGCGGATGCGTCTTGCTTTTTCTAAGATATTTGGTTTTATACGTACAAGCAAGCAAAGGTTTTATCGCCCCGTTGTAAAGCGCTGCCCTGATCATATATACAATGAGCCGTCGTGCACGTTATTATACTATTCTTGCCGTTAAAATAAACTTGCGATTAAAGCAATATAGTTTCTTACACTTATAATAGTTTTTGTTTCAACAAAACATCGAGTAATCAGTTGCATTACGCGACCTAAAAGGCTGTCACTGCTATTGCGCGCCCCGGGAATCAACCTGCCTGAGGGCTAAAAACCCGCCCGTCATTTTTCTTGAAAACGAAAATTTTTTTAAACGGTTACGTAATCAAATTGCTTTAAAAACTAACAGGCAATTTATTAGATAGCGCAAACTTCCGAGAACGGCGATGAGCAGGTAGAGTGAAACAACGATCGTTGCAATCTAATTCAAAGTTTTAAAAAAGAGAACCAAGGCTTACCCCGTCCCAGAATCCCATTTCCGATTCAGCTGAAAATCGGATGAATAGCTTCAAATGATTTTGAAAGTGCAAATAAATGTCCGACACTACGCGTAGCTCCGCGATGACGGTGGTTTGCGCGAAAATTTTTATTCTGACAACAAGAAACAAGTGTAACAAAAACAACAGTAACTTTTTCAAGATATGGCAAATTTTTCTAAAAAATAACAAAAAAGAAAAGTGAAATTTCATTGGTAAGCAATCAACGAACATCCATTCGATTATTTGTAACGGGCGAGCTCCTCCTCGATTTGCTTTTTGTGAAGCAGGTAGATGCGCAGGGCCACGCGTGCATCCACAATCTGGAAGAAATCAGTTGATATTGAAAACAGCGGTATACCGAATCGTGTTCTCCATCCTGAATCGTGATTCCAAGAAGCTTCTCGGCATATCCACGCAACGATGGTCGGTCACCGGATTTTGACTCCTTCCTTAGAAACTAAAGAAATAGCCGTAAAATGCTTACTTTCACACTTTACCCTAGATTTCGCGATGTCCCTCGAAAACTTCCGAGGTATATTGAGTTGAAGCACCTAAAAATCAACCTTAAATACGCAAAAAGGCCTACCCTGAAATCATTATGAAGCGCGTGGCCGACGATCGTTCTATTGGAAAGCAGAGAATGCACCTCTGAACGAACCGATTCGAAGGACGGGGCTAAAATTTTGAAAGCTAAAAGCTGAAACACGAAAAAGTTACCGTTCACCAAATCTTTAGCTCTGATGCCGGATACTTGTGTGCGGAAGTCAACGATTCGTTCCTTAGAAGCGACGAATTTATCGTAGACAACCTAAACAAATGGTAAATAGTCTTTGTCGATAAAATACCTTTCCCTGCTCATTGACTACCGAGACTCTTGCCAAGGAATCATCGCGCCCCTCCGAGCCTACGCCAACGTACTCACAATCCAGCGCCAGAATCGGGGTAAGTTCTCCCCTAAAAAAGTAGGATAGTGAAACCTATTTCAAAACGCACCGCTCACGGCAGGACGATAGTACCAGGGTGTCGGCTTCGACCTTCGATACTTTTGCTTTTGCTGCTTCTTTTTTCTTGGTCGAACATTTGCTTCCGCTTCCTCGTGTGACTTTTTTGGGCCTAAAAGAAATCTAATTCCGGATATTCTATCATGTTTAGTTTGGCCGAAATTTCTAGAAGAGCTTCGAAAATTTTCAGACGATTTTACTTCAATTCTACCGGTGGCTTTTTCGAGGTTGTTGTAGTTTTTGCTGCCAAGTCCTGTTGCTTCGCTTCGTTCATCTTCTAAAAAATGCATAATTCATAAATTTTGTTCAAGCTACCATTTGCAAAACTTTCCACGCCGAGTCAACACTTGTTGGGTCGACGTTCTTCGCTGCACCTTTCGGGGCCATTTAGAAATCTAGCACAAAGCGATCGATGAGGCAAGCCTAGGGGAAACAGAAATGAAACAACGCTGATAACGTCGAGAGACAAAACCGTGTGCATGGTATTAATATTTATTCCTTCTGCACTATCTATTTGAGGGTAGGTGTCGCGTCAGGAATCCTTCCCTTTCGGCTTTGGCGGCAGCGTCTCGGCCAACTTTTTATGGTATTCAGGATCTTGAACGATCTGCTCGAGATCTTTCAGCGACACGTTCTGCGAGCCCCGCTTTGCCGGTTTGGGTGAATTCGGACCTAGAAGCAAATCGTTGTCCTAAGAAATAAATTACCTGGTTTCCAGCCAATCCAAGAGACGATTTTAAAGGTGGCGGGGTGGGTGTCATCTTTCGCGTACATGGCCTAAAATACTCGTATAATGTTGAAATCAAGCATTGCCTTGTAGATTGCTTCCGCCGCTATCAAGACGTCCTTTCGCAATGTAGAAGCTCGCATAGAAACACAGATAAGAGATTATTAAAACGGTTTACTTATAAGTACAATTCGATTCGCCCATCAATTGTAGGTCGTACAAAAGGCTAATCATATTTGGGAAACCTATCTAAATGCCGTAAGTTATAGTATAACTCTCTTTACAACCTGAACTTCATCGCTATCCAGGGTGACCATTTCAAATCCTGCACGACCCAACAGGCTACCGACATCATTGGCTTTTACGAAGGGAGAAATGTGCGAACCAACGCCGCCCAATCGCTCTAGCTAAAACGACACAACTTCAACCGAAAATTCTTGCGAACCTCAGCCAATTGCAGGGAACACCGCAGCTCATACAACGTATCTTCCATGAGCATGGCCCCGATAAACGGACAGTCCTCTTTCAGCAAATTGTAGCAACGGGAAAACCTAGAAACACATATGTATAATGACATAAATTAGAGGCCAAACCAGCCAGGTAGGTCGTTGATCCAGTGTGCGGACATTGAGCTGAGCAGCAGATCAAATGAGGCAGGTTGAAATGCCGCCAGCGTCTCCTCATCACAATGCACTCGCTCGACCTCCACGCCCTCATCAGGACATCCGTTGCTTCTATGCACCATCTCAGCGCTGAGGTCGCACTGTACAATGTGGCGCACGTTTTCCTAGAAACTTTGTAAATTAATTTAGAAATACCGTACCTTTATTAAGTGCGGTGAAATAAATCCCGTGCCACATCCGATGTCGAGTACCCTCTCGTTGAATTTGGTCAGGTCGAAGACCTAAATAAGAATTGAAAATCGCTATTTTGCTCTTGTTCTCCTTTTATTATCTGATATTCTGTATTCCAAAAACAATAGTTTTGTAAACAGTGGGGAATTCTTAGCGACGGAAAACCAATTTTTGCTGACTTTTTAAGTAATTTTTCATACATTTTAGCTCAAAAGCCAAGAACTTTTATCGGTTTTTAGGAACTGTTTCTGTTTAAAACTGTTTTTCGTTAGAGGGCCGTACAGGAATACCGGGAAAAATTAGTCCCCCCCTGCTAACATTCCAGTACCGAAAAAAAAGTTTAGCTAGTTGAATTCCACGGATCCCACAAAAGACGTATTCTAAGTACCTTATCCGCTATCCGCCATCCTATTTCTTCCCGCAAATGACTGGCCGCACTGTAATCCTCCTGCTGGACGGCCCAGTCCCGTTGTCGCCGTTTCAGGTCTCGATCGAAAATCTGCGAGATAAAGATCAAGGTATGGGCATTTACCATCATATTAGGGGGCAGGGGTTGTGTTGATGACGAGGACGTGGCGAATCGACAAGACCATGGGATCCTCCATAACGCCGTGCGCAGCATACTACGCAATCCTAGAATTCGTCACTCGGCAACAAACCAATAATCTCTCAAGACACGTCCACGCCGAGAAGCGCATGCGATTTTCGCTCGTCAAAAAATGTGCAAATTTATTAAATCCCATAAATACATATATCACAAAGAAATCCCGCGTAATATGAAAAATAAGAAATTCACAAAAAGACCCAGAAAATCAGTAAAGCTTGTAGTGTTTTCGTTTGTGCGATTCGCGTGTCCTGACAAGGTAGAAGAGGATCCCAAAATGGATGACGTGAAGCGCTGAAACATATCGTTCTAAATAGCTCTAAAGATTATCATACCTAACGAGGATATGTTCGTTGAGGGATAGGTGCACCAACAGACCTCGACAGCGAGCAGCACGCAGGTTCTAAAAGGAATTTTTAGACTAAAAAATTCGACACACTTGGCAATTATCGATTTCCAGGGAATTGGAAATTTCTCATCATCCGAGGTTGGCAGAGGGTAGTTGAAAAAGAGTAGCAGTGGCAGTTGGTGATAATACCTGTAATCAACCAAATATTCAACATTTTGCCGGTTCTCGCTTACCAAGAGTAGAACTGATAGTGCAAGGAGCGAGCACATGCGATGCCAATCAGGTTCGCAGTGAAAAGGGCAAACAACGTATCTAAAAATATTTTTTTAACGATTATGAGCAAATAACCAACCTCCTGGGCCGGTCCTGCTCCGAATTCCCCGGAACAGGGTCAAGAAAGAAACGCGAAGCCCTCCCATAGACCTAAAAGATTTGTCTACGATTTTAAAGCAATGGTTACCGGAACCACATGTGAAATCCGAAAACAGCCCACAAAAGGACCATCGTTAGAAAGAGAGCCAAATGGAATCTATTGTCGAGGAAGAGTTCTTCAGGCAAAAACCTGAAAAGGTTGTTTATAAAAGGGAAAAACATAAAAAAATATTAGAACCAGACAAAAGGCTCCTTGAAATTAGCACAAAAATAAAATTAATAAAATAAATACCGCCAATTAACGGTCCACTTGAACATGAAGACGCGACCAAGGTCGAACGATCTACGGATGTACGAGATTGGGTCGTAGAGAATAAAAGGGAAGGCCACGTAGAGCTGTAAACACCTGATCATGGATATGTTTTAGAAAAAGATACCTGTAATAGCCCAGCCGCCAATCCACAAAGCACCGTCCACGCCAAGCCGGTGTTCAGCAACAATATACAGCCCAAGGCCGGGGCAAACAAGAAGATGTTCATCTTGATCGAGAAGGCGGCACTAGAATTGAATTCAAAAAAATCACATGATTTTACCTAAATAAGAGCGAGCCAGCCAGCCATTTTTGGGAGACGAAGAAGTTCAGCGCCAGATAGAGGAACGTCATGGCGACGGTGTCGTTGAACAATCTCAGGACGAAGAGCGAATGAATCCGATAGCCGGTGCAGGTCAGCAGAAACAAGACGAATGGTGGCATCTGGAATCTGATGTAATGATGAGCTCTTGAATTTACCAATCGTGTCTTCGAATACAGCCGAAAGACGCTGATGAGATTTATTAAATAAAGTATCTGAAAAGTATATGAGGATAAAGAAAAGTAGCTTACCATGAAAATGTACTGGCCGACTCTGATATCTTGCCCCTTATTCGTCAGCGCATAAAATATTCGATATACTATCAAATGGCCGCCGGGATAACTGTAAGATTGATGGCAGAGAGTTGACATTTTTACACGATAGGCCCAGTGTCCCCTTCGATACGCGAATAGTTCATCTCGTTCTTGTTGACGTAACACTCAACCTGTTGCATATAAGTTGACCAGTCGATTTCGGTATCTAGAAAAGTATAAAGTATCAAAACTACTCTGACATGGTATTTTCTGAATAATCCCGTATGTTACAACGATCTCCAAAATGACGAGCGCTGTCGCAGTGAGCAAAAAACCCGGCCGATTCGGTACAAATAGGAAGAATAGTAATTCATCTTTCAGCCCCATCTAAAAAAAGAAAAAGGTGATAAGGAAAAATCTAGTGAAAATCTATTTTGAGGTTCTTTAGGATTCCCGGGGGGGGAAAGTATTCCCGGGGGGGGAAACCAATTTTTTTCCTGGTGGTCCCGGTTGACCTAGTAATCAAATATAAAGTGTTTTCGAATTGTTTTTAGTAAGTTTTAACTATATTTAAAGCAGAATACCTTTCAGAAAAATTTAGAAAAATGTTTGAAAAAGTCGAAAATTTGGTCATTTTGGGTCTATTTTTCGACCTAATTTTTAATTTTTTACATTTTTTTGGTTAAAATGTGTGTAGTTTTTATGCACAGGAATAGTTAAAAACAATTTAGAAACGCATCCGCAATTTATACAAAAATCTAGGCTTTCGCCGAAAAAAATTTGTTTTCCCCCCCCGGGAATACTTTCCCCCCCCGGGAATCCTAAAGAACCTATTTTGAAAATAGCGTGTTGTCTTGACAAGTCCGTCACAAGCTCTTATGGAAAATCTTTTATCCAAAAAACCAGATCAATAACAAAATAAACAAAAAGTTTAGCGGCGATAGCGATATTTTTTGAAGCTGAACCACAGCTGGAAGACGCCTTGTTGAAATTGGCATTTGTACCCGTTTTTGTGGAGCACCTAAAAATGATATCGCTAAGGAGGGGGATAATCTAACTTACATCCCATTCGCGATTGACCACTTTGAAAGCAATATCTTCGTACGGGGGCCCGGCCTTGAAACGAATCGTCGCAAAATCCGGGTCAGCGTCTTCGTAGATTTTGAAATTTGGTGCGATCGTTGGGTCGAGTAGATCGGGATAAAAGACCTAATGAAAACCTTGTGCTGGGCTGTTAGCGGGGGGGGGGGTTCGGACTACCGTAAGGTCCCAATAAAATTTTCACATTTTAACGTGATTTCTGTAGTTTTTTCCATGGCTTTTTGAAGTATAGGAGGTTCAAAACATTATTTACCAGCCGCTTCCAGCGGCGTCGCCGCTGCAGCGGCTGGACTTCGGGCTACCCCTTGTGCGCTCCTCCCCTACGCCGAAACGCGCGCGACCTGGCTCACTATGTCCAAAATCACCCCAACCTCCGTCCCCCACCCCTTTTACTAAGGAAAAAACTTTCAAAGTTAAATTTAACAATTTAAACTAAAACTTCTAGCGCCTTTCCTCTTCGAGTTGAATTCGGCTTCAGACACACTGACGCCTCAAGAAAATTATTATAGTTGATTGCCGGTCAAAAACGTAGGAAAATTATCGAAATGTTTAAATGTGTAAATATTCAAAAAAACGTTTTCTGGCTTTTTCGTAGGCAAAACCAGAGTCCTCACCCCCCGCTAACGGCCAGTTCCCCGGGCATTTGTTAGCAAATAATTACTTACGTTAAATTTGTAGCCCTGGACGACCTTCGGTGGCGGATTGTCGACATCGTAGTGGGTTTGATTGTACTTGTTCCACTCGAAACCGGTTTGCACGCGATTGAGATATCGGGGCTTACGGGGACGATATTTGTCCGACCAGAGGTGCTTCTAAGAAAACAAGGGTTGAACCATCAAAAATAAAAACCTGTGCTTCTATCGGCACTTCAACGCTGAACGTTCCCTCATCCTTGTCCATCCCTCGTCGCGCCATAGCCAACATGGCAGCGTCAGCGTCCTAAATTTTTCAGTTAATTTTTATCCGGAAACGAACGTCTCCAACTTCCGGCTTTTTCCTATTCTTCTCGCGCCGCTCCAATATTTTCGCCATGTCGTCCGCCTCGTATAACACCTAAAAACTAGGTTTTTAGAAAAAGTCGGGACAAAAACCTCGATTCCGGGCATTGCGTCGTCTGGGTCGCCATACGTAGGCGAGTAGCCGCCCTTTTCATAAAGATCGACGGTCGCTTCTTGCAATTCCTCGGGCAGCAACTGTCTGAAAGGGAACGATGTGTCAGAAAGCTATCAACGTACTTCCATTTCTGCTCCCGTTCTTGCTCATCTAACTCGGGGTCTTCCAGAGATTCGAGGTTGATCTGAAATAAACATAGTAATGAAATCAAAAATTGATTTAACAAAGGGCAACTTTTAGCAAAAATTAAAAAAGATTTTCGACCAACATCGGAAATATTCAAGCGCTTTTTTTAGCTGTGATTGTCCTGACGTTATCAGGTATACATGCGCTCCAACGAAAAATTAGTTTTCCTCTTGAACATTCTAAAAAAGCTAAATAAAGCAGTACCTTCGGCCTGTTCCATTTTTCGTGCCCATCCTCCGGCGTGCCACTTCGACTCCGTTCTGCCCGCGATGGTGCGGCGGCTTTTTCAGATGGCTCCGGCTTGACATCTTCAGCCTCCTCGACATTCTCATCCTTCATCTGCTCCTTGATGCGGCGCAGCTTCAAATCCAGCATCTTCCGGTGGAGTTCACGAATTCGTTGTCTAAAATGAATTTGCAAAGATAACAACACAACCTACTTTGCGATGTGTGCGGTAAGCTTTTGTAGAATTTCTTCCCAATAGGCCACAATGGTTGTCGCATCCCGTTGGCGGAGCTTCTTCTCGACATCGTTTTTCAGGGCGATCAGCTCGCTCATAGTTTTGCCCTAAATTTGCATAAAAATTAGTTTCGCATGAGTTTTTGCTCTAAATTTGCATAAAATTAGTTTCGCAGGAATCTTTCCCTAAATTAGCATAAAATTAGCATGACCGGTATCTTCCGGCATCCCCACCGGCCAAGTAATTCAGCCATTATTTCGCATTAACCACCGAACGCGGGTTTCTCCGGAATGGCTGTCGTATACAGCGACGTTGAGGTACGTTTAGCCAATTTTCCTGCATATGCAAATTGCAGGAGTATGACCCGTTGGCTCGTGACGACTACGGGACGGCAGATTGTTCGGAATTGACCACGCACACCGTGTCCAACGCGTTCTTCGATGGCCCAGTCGATGAAGCGGGCGAGCCCGTGGACGGCAAGGAGGACAAGGCCGAGGAAGAAGAACAATTAAAGACGGTGGATCAGAAAGAAGACAGGGTGAAGGCTGATGAGGATCTGGGAGATGTGAAGGAGGCTGAGGAAGGTGTCAAGGAGCAAGAGCATGTGGAGCCGAAAGTAGGGGACGGCGAGGAAGAGGAGGAAGAAGAGGAAGAAGAAATCCCGCCCACGGTCAAGGAGGTCACATTCATCAACGATGTGCCAATCTACAAGCCCAATCACCTGCTGATGGACGAGAAGAACCACTACAAGTGTGTGGTAGGGTTCGGTTCTTCCGCTTTTGATCTCCGCTATTAGGTCTACGAGCGCGTCGGCTTTGACGACAAAGTCGGCGGCACGTACCTGGTGACGGCCCACGACAAGGAGATGGTGTTGCGCGTCGAGAAGATCCCCGGTCGCATCATCGGCCAAGAGCTCGAGTTCCTCAAGAAGGTCGAGGCCGACAACAAGTGGCCATACTTTTCGCAGCTTCATAGTGGCTGGAACGCCGACGGCTACGCTTTCTACATGCTGTACTACAGGTGGAAAAGCCTGGTTTCGTGGATGCAGTCTTTAGGCCTGGACCCAGCTTCCGCCAAATCCGCGACTTCATGAACTACCGACCGCTGAGCCATGGTTCGGCAGCCCGTCTGATGCGTGATGTGTTCATGGTAGTAAAAACTCGCGCGAATTATTTCGGTGCTTTTTCACTAACGGGGGTGGGGAGCTTTTCCTGTTCCCGCAGGCGCCCAAGGACAAAGTCTAAACAATTTCTATAGTATTTTTCGCATTTTTTCGAAAAATGGAAAGTTTTTGAAATGTCGAAAGTTCGTACTTTTTTTCGTACTAGAAGTTCGTACTCGAAAACTGTGAAAATACTACAAAAGATAGCCTATATTTTATTACGATGGAGGTTAGCCTGAATCAGGAAGTAATAGTAGTAAGTAGAACTAGAAACCGTTATTTTAGTGCATCCGGTACGTGCACAAGTACAGCATGTTGTTGCGATGCCTCGAGCCGGAGATGTTCCACTTTGACGCGGCCGGCCGGAATCTCTTCCTCAGCGACCTCTCGACGATCCGTGCCGACCCCGGGAAGCGAGACTGGTCGATTCCTGTCAGCTGGGCCGGCGGTCCCCATTACGCTCCAACTAACACCGGTTAGCAACCCGATCCTTAGGTTCAGCTAATCGCAAAAATAGGCTCGGTGCGCGCACGGGACGAGATCGAAGCCTGGCTGTACTTCCTCATCGAAATGCTCGTCGGCCAGCTGCCCTGGACCGGAAAACCCTACGACAAGATTCACCAAATTAAAATGGAAGCCGTCCAGGATGCTGGTCTCGTGAAGGGGCTGCCTTTTGTGTGAGTGGTCCTCGGGCCTTTTGGACCCGATTGTTCAGTTACACCGAGCTCTACCACCACGTGATGGCCCTGCCCAACACCAGCCACATCCCCGAAAAGTGCTACAACGAAATTGAGGAATTCTGCGTTCGAATTTATGAGCAGGTTTGAAAAAACTATGATTTTTTTTCCAATGGATTTTCCTGTCGAAATTTGCCATGAAAAATCTGTAGGAAAGTCCTTTTCTCATCTTCTAAATCCATTTTAAGGTCGGCGGGGTGACGTCGCACGAGGACAACTTTGACTTTGAGCGCGACCCCCTCGAGACTGAGCTCCCCAAGTTGGAAAAAAACTTTTACAAAAACCGTATTGTCTAGATTCGTCATGGAGAGGAGCGACAAGATCCCGGAGACGATCCCCGAGGAATGAGCCTACCTACTTTGACAACCCTTAAAGATTCCTGCGAAACGCTAATTTAGTGCATTAACTAATTTTTCTGTTCGGGTGTGAATAAATTGGTGGAAGTAATACCTTCATTCGCTTGTCGATGTCACCCTGGACGGCTTGCGTGGCGCTTTGCTGTCGTGTGTTCTTCAGTTTTCGGAATTCTTCGTCAGCCAACTGTAAGAGCTTGAAAGAGCAACTGGATGATCCCTTACCGTTTGAATATCACTCCAGTAGTCGGCGTTTTTGCCGGCATCGATTTGCTTGCAAATCTTGAAGTCTTCGAAGAGGTCTTCATAATCGCCATAGGATAAACCCCGGATGTACCTAAATGAGTGATAAGAGAAGCGACGAGCTGATTTACTTGGATGGTTCCTCTAGCTCAAACTCTTCTTGTCTCTCCTTTTCCGAAAGATCACTTGGCTCTTCCGCGTAGTCAATGTATCTGAAAATAGCGTGGTTGAAAAATATATCCAATCCCCACCTAATCAAGAGATCAATCGGCTTTGGACGATTTTGTTCAATTCTGATCTTGGAGCGAAGCTAAAGAAAATGATCATCTAAAGAGCCGCAGACAAACCTTAGCCTGTTGCAGCTGAAACTGGGCTTCTTTCTGATCCCAATCACCATATGCAGCCTTTTCTTCCTCTCTCTTCATCATATCCATCTCTTCCCGAGCTGCAAAAGAAATTAATTACCGCGAAATTTTCCCACCAGCCAAACGGGAGTCCCTGTTCCTCTTCAATTCGTCCATTTCCCGGAGATTGCGCTGAACCCGTTCTCGCGTTCTTAAAAAAGCTAAAAGCTAAATGAAAATAACAAACTCTTTCTCAATATCCCGCTTCTTGACGGGCCGACCTTCCTCATCCAACTTTTTCTTCCAAACGAAGGTATCAGCGAGGTGTGGATCGTTAAATGGATTGTCCAAATTCGTGTAGGTGACGGACGATGGAAGATATCCCTCCCCTTTACTTGCAGCTCTCTTCTCCTCCTGCAAATCGGTAAAACCCGAATTGACCCGCATACCTTTTTCATTTTCTTTGCTAACCGCCGTGCGCGCTTTTCCTCTGGGGTCTCCAACGCCTTCATCTTTTCTTTATCAGCCTTCTTGGACCCGTCCTTCTTCCTGCGATGGTCATCCGACTTCTTGTCGTAATCTCGAGAACTAATCCAAAAATAAGTTTCATGAAAATGCGCACCTGTCTGAAGAGGAATCCCTGCGTCTGCGGCTTCGTTCCCGCGAACGGCTTCTCGATCGTTTTCGGTCCTTTTTCGATTTCTTGTCTGATGATCCCATTTTTGCTAAAGGAAATATGTAGCAAAAGAATCGAAAAAGAAGTTTTCGAAAACGCCAAAAACGAAGAGGAGCCCGGGGAAATCAGTTGCAACGCGCGCATTTGTTAGCTCCGTCGATAGTAAAGCGCCGTAGACTTCAAGGCTCGATTTTCGTTTGGCACTACCGTATCGTTTTTATCAATTTTTGAGTCGAAAAAGGGGATTTGGATAAAATTTCTTGATTAAAGTCCATGTTTCTTGTTGAAAAAATTGCTGTCTGGACAGACAGGTAGGCAGAAACGTTACTGCCTCCGCCCAAAAACGCTGTTTTTTTTCGGCCGTGCAAAGGTAAACCGATGCCCAAATCGTCTTCTCGTCAAAAATCGGAAAAGTTGTTTGTCGTTTTTCTCGTCGTCTGTAGCAATACAAGATCGAGATATTCAAAAATATTTATTGATGCATTCTCCACGAGGCACCTGAGAAAAATGGGGGCAAACGATCAGAAACTGTGTGAGGAAGAAGATTCGGATATACTCGTAATTGTAAACGGGGGCGAGCGAAACAATGACTAGCACTCAAAACCAGGAAAAAGATCACATCATGGATGGCTACAAGGTGTGCCGGACACCGGCGTAGCCTTCTTTTCGCCGACAGAATAGATGTAGGGCCCCGGTGGCCCCGATGACGACAAGAACGGCTGCTACAGCGGATGCTACAGCCAGCGATAGTGTCGACAGGCAGACGAGGCGCGAGTTCGACTTCTCGTTCGGCTGTGCACATTCGACGAGCGCCATGTCGAGGGAACGGGCCATATCATCGGTCTAGAAGTCAGTTCGTATTGTGAGTGCTGGTTTGTTAACGGTTTTTGGCGGGGCACTTTTTTTGGTCAGCCTGATCTCTATGGTAATAAAACCTACGATACCTTGGCAGTTATTTTTTCTTTTTTTTGCAGTTTTGGACATCCAAAAAGTCCTAAAACTCTTTTTGATTACTTTTGAGACATCCAAAACTGCTAGTTTCGAAACTTTTAAGCGTTTTTAATCATTTCGATCTAAAACTGAATTTTTTGAGAATGTTAATGGTTTATAAATTTAATCCACAATTTTTACTGCTTTCATACACCGTTTTCCTAAAACTCGCAATTTTTCGAATTTTTTAATAGTTTTTCTGAGCTTTTTGTCGATTAAAAAGGCATGAAATACGATTGATAGCCTACGGAAACACCGGAAAACGTCGCCCCCCCCGCTAACGAGCCAGAACCTAATTTTCTTTTATTGCGCTGTTTTTACTGACCTCATGCGGGTTGTGCATTTCCGAAATCTCGAGCCGCTGGGATTGTGCCTCAATCGAGTGGAGGGTCCTCGGGGTTCGTCTGGAAGACATTTTTATAAAATAGTTTTCGTTGTTTCTCCTACCTATGGACCGTCGAATCTTTGCCACATACGGGTGGCTGACACCCATGATCATCGCGTTCGGTGAGCGCCAGCTCGCATTCGAAAAAGACGACCGGTCTTTGCGCCACGCCAAATACCGACACGTTTTGTGCGACCAGGCGCTAGAAAGTATATATATTTTTATTAATATTAATAATTCTTTCAAAACCTACTTAGTGATTCTACTTACATGATCAAAATAGTGCAGCTGCGGCAGTACGTATTGATCCAGGGAACACCCGTCCGCATCTACCAACGGATATCTCGTTTCGGGGGTGACAAAGAAGCAGCTTCTGGAATTGTTAGGTGATTTTAAATAGTTAAATAAATGATTAATAAATACCGGAATGCTGAAAGTAGTTTCTAAGGGTATATTTCCTTACCTTTTACAAGAAGACACTGATCCGGTCCCGTATTTTGGCAGCTCCACTCGTGAAAAACCACATCACCAATGGAGGCCGAGTGTAGTGGATGGCCGTTTTGCGAGCTAAAACAAGGTGGTACTGGGCTGTTAGCGGGGGATATCTAGCCTAGTTCTACCGAGAAATTGTTAGCATTTTCTAGCGTTTTTTTGTAGTTTTTTTGCTACTAAAGAGCAGAAAAAAAGCATTTTTAGAACCTTTAAAAAAATTGAAAATTTTTATGTTTTTCGGCTTTCATAGTTACCGTCGAAAATGCAATAATATTTATAAATTTTCTTCCCCCGCTAGTGCAACAGTACCAAAAAACTAACCTTTTTATCCTGTACTGGCAAAGCGGTCCATCATGAGCATGAGGGTCTTCAGTGAGTGCCGTCTGCTGGGTGCCAGCTTCAAGTTTCCCGTCGTCTTTCCGTGTATGCCGACATTCGAACCGGTAGACGAGGGCGTCGTTCGTCAAGAAATCGGGGTGGAAGGAGACGACCAACTCGGCGGACACGACAACACCTTCCGGGGAGTGGAGCCTGGAAATTGAAATAATTCGCTTTTTTAGAGCTTCCAACCTTTTGCGCGGGAGCGCGCAATCCTGATGGGGGACCAGGACCTCGATTTGGTTGTTCGTCACGAGCACCTGGAAAGCGGAAGTGAAGTGGATGATCGGAGGCGTTACCTGATAGCACACGGTATTCGGCGCGTATCGTACGGTGATGTGGCCGGCGAATGTCTCGCGTGTGCGGATTTTCACGTAGATCGCGTCGGCTGAGCAACTGAAAAAAATGAAAAATTATTATTTATTTTCGCTCCTGTTGTTTTTGGCTAAAATTTTCTAAAAACACTACAACAACGCTTTGCATCTCTGGATCGGTACTGGACTATTATCGGGGGGTTGAACGGGGTCAAGGTAAGCTAATTTTTATTTTTGCGTCTATACCAACCTGCTAATAATTTTTGCTGTATTTTAATAGAGTTTTGGTAGTTTTTGATCGCTAGGAGTTATAAAAATCTCGTAAATTTTTAAAGTCAGGAAATTATACCCTTTTTGGTAATTTTCTGCATTTTTTTACCATAAAATCACAAAATCTGAAAAGTTGAACGATTTTTTGAACCTTTTACACCCAAAAACCGGTTTAAAAGTCTATAAAATTTTCTTATATATTGCTTATAGGCGGCGGGAATCGCAGTTGCGAAGAAAAAATTACCCCCGCTAACAGTCCAGTACCACTTTTTTACCCGAATTTTCCCGCAAAATCTGCCGACCCCCGGGGCCAACATTAGCATATGTGTATTGCAGTGTGGGTATGTTTCATCGTGGCGACTCGCCTAATCCCGTGGCCATCCCTCTCTTTTGGTTAGTCAGTCCGTTTCTGTCCTTTGTCCGCCCCCAATATGGCCCTCTGGGGTGTGCGCCATTCCGAAAGACACCCCTTTTCGTACCCATTCCATCCCCGGGACACCCCAACGTCCCGGCTGGGTGGTTCAAGATGGATTTGGGTCGGGGAATTCTTTTGAGGGTGTGTTGGGGCGGAATTTGGTAGGAAAAGCTATGTGGGTTCTGGTGCGTTATCGGGGGGGTGGATTTTTCCTATATTCCGATACTCCGAAAAAGCGCCGAATCTTGGAATATAAACTCTTTTAAAGCGATATAGAATTTTACACTTTTTCCTGAGTCCAATCCTAGCAAATTTTGAAAATTTGAAAATTTGTAAAGGTTTTTCGGTTAGGAATCGTAAAAAATAGTTTATAAACGCCTCCTCTTTATATTATAAAATTAAGTAAAGAAGTAAGAGAGAATTTAGTTCCCCCTGATACCACCCCCCGATAATGCACCAGCACCGATGTGTCGAAAATCGCGGGTTTTCCGGTCCAAAAAAATTAAAAAAAAAAGTAAAAAAGCCAACCTGACTGTTGGCTGGCCGAGCACCTCATTTTTCGCGCTGCAGACGATGGCACCGCCAAGCAGCAAAAGCAGCGGAATCAGCGGAAAATAAGAAGTGGCCTTCATCCGGGCACGCAGCGTGTCCGCATACTCTCACGTGGTAAGCGGCTGAAAAATAGGGTTATAGCAAATTTTTAAAAGTTTTACAAAACAAAAAAAACGAAGATACGGGTAAAAAGAAAAAAACTTGACTTTTTTCATGGGAATTGGGCCTGGTTTTTCGATTTGGAACTATGCGCAAGCGTAAAAACGTAACAAATTTTTGAGAAACACAAAAAATATAGATTGTTCGACGAAAATTTCCAAATTTTTGTAAGTGTTTTTGGATAGTTTTTCTATAGCCCCCGATAATGCAAAAAACCCACTTCATACAAAGCAAAACGTCTATTTATAAGCACACGCAGTTCAGGGTTTTTTACGCCCCAAAACACCCCAGAAATCGGTAAAGCAAGCCGGAAATCCGGTGGGAAAATGCCGAGGGCCCTGGCGAACGGCAGGCAGTGGGTAATATGGGGGGTTTGGCGAAGTCAACAAGTCATCAGGCAAGAGGCAGAAGCAGAGAAAGAGTGGGAAACAGTGGAAATGCCAATTAGCCGGGATCGGGCCCAACGCCGTGGCCGTGGTGGTTGGGTCAGTCTAATCTGGGTGAAAGCCCTCCCGGTAGAGAGGGCCAATATGCTAAGCCGCCCCCCGCGGCTTCTAATTGGAGGTATGTGGCGAATGAGGGAATGAGGGTTAGCGCATTAGTGGATGGATACCATAACGGTCAAAATAACTGAAAAGGAAAATTATAAATCGACGAACGACAATCAGCAAGGCTGGAGACAAAAATGAAAAAAAATCCTAGAAAATCTTTATTTTACTATGGTTTTTTTGAGTTCTTTGTCATTAGCGGGGGTTTCAGGCGAAAGGCTATCAGGTCATGGTCCCAGAATGAGGGAGTTAGTTGTATTTTTAAAGGGCTAAACTTACAAGGAGTGTCCTTTTGGTGTCATCGGCAAAATGATTCGAGACCCAGCTCATTCGATAGAGAATTGAATTCTGAATAACACTGTGTTGTTCATTTTTGCGGAATGGCTGTACCTGATTTTATAAAATTAAAAAACTGCCGGCGACGCCCATACATTGGTGCTTGGGGAGCGAGTTGTTAAGGTTTCGCGCTTGGTTTTTAATTCTATAAAATCAGGGACAGCCATTCCGCAAAAATCAACAACACAGCCTTGTTCAGAATTCAATTCTCTATCGAATGAGCTGGGTTTCAAATCATTTTGCCGATGACACCAAAAGGACACTCCTTGTTAGAAAAACCTTTTTCCCTTCGGGGCACGCTTTTAAAACAAGTGGAATTAGGCGTAAAACGGAACGAAACACTCTTTTTAGAAGGTTTAAAAGCTATAAAAACATTTTTTATCTAGTCTTGATGCCAAAATGAGCGGAATTAGGTGTAGGATGGAGCCAAAAACTGCTGTGGCCCAGCTCCCGGCCACACTGCCGTGCCCGGCTAGTGCGACTTGGAGACAATAGCGGGGGGAGAAAGGCCAAAATAATCGCGTTAGTTCGGCCCCTCTTAGGGCCCATCCTCGGGCCCCCTGGAATATTCAACGGGGCCCCGCTCCTCCCCGCGGAGCAGAAGAAGCTCTTTGGCCTGCCGAAATGTTTTCCTGCGCCTCCGGGGGCCCCCGAATCGGCAATGATGCTTTTAAACGGGGGGCTCTTCAGGAATGGAGTCGATTAGCCGGGGTTGGTAAAACGGGGGTTCTTTGGCATTATCGGGGGGATATCGGGATCGGAATTGCAAAAATTGTGTAAAAACACTTCCACTGTTAATGTTAGCAAAATTGGATGCTCGAACCCCCCCGATACTGCACAAGCACCGCCGCAGGCTAAAAAACCGCAATTTTTGTTCTTTTTTTTGCAAAAACCTGTGTAGTTTGTACGCCTAGGAATAGCAAAAAAAACAATATAGATCACTTCCGCTATTTATCTACAAAAAAGCAAGAAAAAATAAAAAAAAATAGGTGAGACCCCGCCGATACTGCAAAAGCACCTGAAATTTTAGGACGTTACCGTAAAGGGGAAATTTCCCCCGGGTCCGTTCCGCCCGAAATCGGACTTTTCAATTTCCGAGGGGTGGGCCCTGGTCTTGGGGCCCAAAAAAGGGGGAAATAAAAAGGGGAAGACGGGGCCCTTGTGCTTGGATTTCGGCGCGTCGGTAATTGTTCTTTCTCTCAGCGGTTCGAGAGACGAGACCCCAGAAAGGGAAACCTTCCCAGGTTTTCGAGGGTTCCGGAATGAATACGACACCGGTCCGATTCCGGGGAGAGAGCTTGAGCATTATCGGGGGGCGGGGCGGTGTTCGGAGTTAGGATAAATTCAGAAACGCAAAAACAGGGATTTTCGGCTAAAAATTGCCAATTCTCGATAAAAATTTTCATTTTTTGAAAGAGCTTTCTAAGTTTTTTCTTGAATATTCAATTTTTCTAACTTAAATAGAAGTGTTTCTATACTGTTTTTACTATACCTGAGCCTAAAAATGTACAAAATTTGTGTTAAAAAGAAAAAAATATCGATTTTTCAACCAAAATGTACATTTCCAAAATTTTTATGCGTCTTTTTAGACCGTTTTTGCACTTGAAATATCGTTAAATCTTGGCAAAAACACTATTAAAATGCCTATATTATGCTACTAGGCATTTCTGGTGACAAATAACCCTCCCCGATCACGCAAAAGATCTGTAAAAAAATCGCGATAGAGCCCAGCCTAATGGCCGCCCAACAGGCGACTCCAATTTCTTCTTGACCCGCAGCGGGACGTTCCGTGTAATGAGCTACGCGCTCATCCTAAAGACGGACTCTTCCACATGCAAATGAAGGGCCCAGGGGGGGGGAGGAGATGCCATCGAAATGGAACAATAGGAGGGCCCAAATAGGGATGGGGGCCAGGAGTCAACCGCCCGGAATTTCGTGGTGCCAAGACCTTTCGAGGCGTAAAAAAGTGGTACTAACCTGTTAGCGCGGGGGTAAAAATCATAAGATTTCGAAATTCACAAATTTGTAAAGCCTTTACATTTAGGAATGGTCAAAAATAGTGTAGAAGCACATCCTCTATCGAAAAATCGAAAAATTACTGCTAAGAAAAACGTGATCTCCCCCGATAATGCGAAAGTACCGTTTTCCGAAATTTTCTAACCCCATTATCGAGTTTGGCTGCATAAAGAAACTTCACCCCCTCCCCCCGGTAAGGTACCAGTACCACATGAACTAAGCATATATAGAAGAGAGTTCCCTTTAAAGCCGCACTTCACTTCGAGAGAGCCCATAAAAAGCCATAAAAATCGAGACTCGTTTCGCGGTTAGCTACAACAACCCCGTAGGCCATATTCCCGTATTTTTTATGTGTTCCGGGGGGGTGGACGGAGGGAAGGGCTATAGAAAGCATTCGACTCAAATTTCATGTCCACCCAAAAGCCGACGGGGGATTCACATCAAAAGCGGGCACGGGTGAACAGGAGTATTTGCCCCCGGTGCCATCACTCAAACCCCTCCTGCCATGGATTATGAATGACATTGAAATAGATGTAAACTGACTAATTCTGGCGATAGTGGGAGCTTTGGCATTATCGGGGGGGGGGAGGAAAACTTTTTCGAGCGTAAAAATGGCAGGGCTTTATTGCCTTTTTGGAAGCGTTCAAACCGCTGATTAAAATCGATATGATTTAATTAGATCAAAAACCCCGATATTTGGCTCAAAATTTAGAGTGTTTCAAAGTTGTCACAAAAATTAGTGCTTTCGCATTATCGGGGGGCAACTGCCTAATCGCAATCATGAAATGTCTCTAAACTGTTTCGTACTGTTCCTAAACGCGAAGACTTTACGTATTTTTATTCAAATATAAAACTATCGATTTCCGAACAAAAAAACGTCCTGTTAACCAAAACTGAAAATTGCGCAGGCTTTCCCCGGGGATAATGCCAAAGAGCCAATAATTTTTACAACCACAACAAACGGCTTTTAATAATCTTGACAGCGGGATCTATCGAAACTGAAAAGCTACCGTAACCCGCGCCCATTACGCCATGAAAACCCGAAAAAAGTATGGGCGTGTCGTGACAACGCCGAAAGTGGCTCAAAAATCAGCCACACTGACTAGCGAGCGATGTCGTGCTAACGATACCCCCCCCCTTTGGCTGCATTTTTGACGGGCCGTTCGCATGGCTGCACAAATTGAATCTGTCCCCCCTACTAAATGGCGCCCATTTCGCGTTTTGCCCGCCCTCTCGGGGTCACAAATGGCAGCAGCGGGGTGGGGTGGGGTAGAGAAGAATGGCCCGGCGGCGGCGAAATTGAGAATTGGCGGGTTTCACTGGCAAATTGTGGAATTCGGCCGGCGCCGTGGGGTGTAATGTTTTTTGGGTGGGAGGGAAATTGTTGGCAGGGATCTTGAATTTGAGGCTATAAAAATGAGGCTTACGAAAAACATCAGACACTTCGGAAAAACGTGGTTGACCAACCTTTTTTTCCGACGAAATGAAACGTAATTTTCTAAATTCCAAATCTGGCTTAAAATTACGATTCTAAAAAAATGAAAAAATTAGCCTAGAATTATAATTCCTACAGTAGCCAAGTAGTTTTTTAAATTAAAAGCATTTCTATATACGATTTCTACGAAAAAAACTGAGCGTGACCGCCATTTATCCCCTAACACCCATTCCGTCGAGAGGATCGCAACGGAATGTGGGGGCAAAGAGAGAGACAGAGTCGTATAAATGGCTGGATGGCATCCAACTGGGGTGTCTTCGGGGGCTGCGGAATCCGAAACGCTGCCCTCTCGCTTTGATGAGAAGGTTTGCCCACGGAAGTGCCCCAGCCAACACAGCCGCCGTCAAGTCGGAAATGGGGTGTGGATTGACTTCTCGGGGCCTTTAAAAGGGGCGCCAATGGCTTCAAGTCGGCAGAAATTGGAGGCTAAGAATGGAATTATTGTTAGAAAGACAGAATCGGGACTAGCTATATGGGACAGACCCCACGAAATTACCCCCACCCCCTATAGGGGCAGGTGATTTAC